GCGCACGTAACACCAGCTGCAACTCGGCCGAGTGTGAACACGCGAAACACCGGTTGCACTCGCGTGTGCGTGCGTGCGTTACGTTTGTCGGTGGCGCGCGGATGAGCTCGCATTTTTTCGACGCTCCACCGCGAAACGCATCGGTGTTTCCCGATTTTGCATCGTTGTCATTGGCGTAAGTGTACAGGGCTCAGGATGCACCCTATTTTATTCGAGAAACGTTTAGGCTGGCTCGTCTTTGTCCTCGATAAAAAGCTTTTCCAAATCGAGTAACGAAAGGGAATTGTAAGATTTCTTTTCTTGGGTTATCGAGCGGTTATCGAGCGAGGTCACCGGTGGTTCAGGGAGCTCGTTAAAAGGGCAAGTTTAATTAACCGAGCAAAGGTAATCTTCGGTTAAATAGTGGAGTAAAATTGGGATCTGAAATTTGAACCCTGTTGAAGGCGCGTTTGATTATCACGGTTCCCCGACGATAATCGTTGCCCTCCCGTTCGGTAGCTTTTGTAAAACTGACAATCGCGCGTCTGGGATTCGAAATGAGTCATATCGTAAAATCGACCTCGTTGCTCTATAAATATGCAACCGACTGCACGAACCGAACGAGAAGTATCGCAATTCCGTAACTTGTTTGTATTGTACAGATAAGAAACTCGAACCACGGTGACTTACGTAATTTTCACTGAGCTTTTACTAAATAGATACAATGTTGTTACCGTTCGACAAGTATCGTTGAATCAACAATGAATTCTAATAATATGTTAGACTTCGTTCTAGTTGAAGATAAAGGTATAATCTTCAAAGAAACTGTACGAAATAATACGAAAATTCAACTCCATTGCTCTTCCCCGAAGCAGAAAATTGACTAATTGATAGATAAACAAAAATCCTCGCGATCATTAAGAAACGAAACGAACGGAGCCATCAGTCTTTTCCATGCTAAAGAATCCGATGCGTGTCTGAGAAACTATAACGCCAATGAAATGGTTCTGTGAACCGAATCCCATACCCCTGTGTACATAGAACTGTTGCGTGCCGCATAAACAAGCCTGTGTATGCAACAGAATGGAGCAGCTTACAAGGAACGATTCCTTGAACGTGTTTTATTGATATCAAATATTCAATGGTAAATCGGAAGATCGAGTTAGGTAACGCATGGAATAACACTCCCATAATCAGCCTACGTTATGATTTACTGTAACGTTACTCGTTGCGTAACGAGATTTAGCCTGTTTCTTTATCGAACAAAAATTCGCTACTATCTGTGGACGAGAAAGGGGCAGACAGTCTCGTTTCGGAGCGTCAACCTCTTCTGCTTTCACCCCTTTCGTTCAGATCTAACGTCATGACAATATGATTTATACTTTCAAGAGAAATTGATTTGGAAAGGAGTCGTTCCTGGAGTCGAAATTTCAATTCTGGTTTGGAATTATTAATTAAAGCCAAGGGGGGTTGAAAATTAAATTTTAAGACTTTAATCAAAGTTCCAAAAGAAAATTCTTTTTTCTGGCCCAAAGCATAATCAGAAGAATCGAGGCTTTGTAAGGTGAAAGGTGTAAATATGCAAGTTCTTTTCGACACACGATGCAATTGACGATGCACGACGAAGAGGTTGGTTGCGGTGTACTTGCGTAAACGAGGACCGCGCAGACAAGCGTGTCGGAAGGTAGCTATCGTGCACATAGGCATTATATTATGTACTCTGCTATCCGCGCGCCTAGCTGGCGCCCGACACATACTTTATCGTCTTTCTAAACTCGGTATCGTGCAAACGGCAAAATTTAAATATTTATTATTTCGCAAGCGCGCCAGGTTTGACCGGAATTCGTGTGCTTTCGTTCGGTAACGGTTTAAAAATCCCTCGGGACCCGGTGTCACCAGGTGGCGCCAGTCGGCCAATGAAATCTATCGATCGATCGTGAATCACACTCGAACCGAGCCAAAGATCGTAAAGTATTCCTTGTCTTCGGCAATGATTTTATCGTCGTTTCAACGTCCCGTCGCGATCTTATCCCCACCATTATCCGTTCGCATGTACCATTTTCTTGTTTTTCTTCTATCCACGAGAATAAGACAGTCGGTCTGGTATCAGAAAGTAGGAAGCTCCTCGAAGTCTCTTCCTTTTCATCCGATGCACAGGCGCATCTATAAAACGTTGAAATTGCACGCGTCCTTAATTGCGCCTCGCTGCCTGACTGCCGCAAAAACAGCAGACGAGTTTAAACGTGCCGGTGCAAGTCCCTTTTTCCTTTTTTTTTTATTTTAACTCTTTCTCTCCTTCTCTGCCTTTCGTCCCGGAGAGCGTACAATTTTGCAATTACCGATGGCCGCGGCATGCGATGCGGCGGCGCGTCTGCATCTGCTTCGCTCTTATCTCCCTCGAGTTTCTTTTTATCGTTGGGACACTCGCGGCGTACTTGCATCCCATGCATCTGCCGTTTTCCCGATTACGTATCGCGATACGAACCGACCGAGCCGATCGGACGTTTCTTATCAACGTATCTTTACGAGCGAATCCCGATCGCGTTGGACAGCTCGTAATTTGGAGCTGCCCGGGAAAATACGCGTTCACCGGGTTTTATTCGTCGAATCGGGGCGCCATAGAGCGCGTATAAAAGACCGAGTCAATTAATGTAGTTTGGTGACTTCAGCGTTCTTAATTTAGAGAGCGGCGTTTCCCGACTTTTATTGCTTTGGCGTCAAAGCTGAACAGAGGTCGAAGAATTACTCCCTCGGTTCGCTCCGTTTCGCCAAAACGACCGGCGTTTCCGTTTCAATCGATTCGCAACGATCGGTAGTTAGCCGACGTGTTCCAAAGGTTGCGTGCATACCGCAAGTTTAATTACCCCGACGGTACCGATACGGATCGGTCACATTAATTACAGACATGATACGCAACGAGCGGAGGGAAACAAACATTACCGTAATCAACGATTTTTCGCGTAGGAATGCGTCTAAGCGGCGAAGGCCACGTGTAATAATAAACTTTAGCCGCAACACAATCTAACCAACACGCGGACACGCGACCGTCCGGAACAAATAAAGAATCTCGAGTTTAACCGTTTAATTATAATAAAAATTCCTGTCCCGGCTACTACAGTTTCGATGTTTCGTGTTCGCGAGCCACGTGTTCACACGGTCTCGATTCGTTCGCGGCTGAAAGCTATTTCCCACCGACTTTCCCATGAAATCATGCGCCCGAAATGTAAACCATTACCATTGTCATCGGATTTTCCCTCGTTATCGGCCAGCACCTCGTAGTCGCCGGAATCAAGATCCACAGAAGCACCGATGACCACTGTCAGACTGGACACCATCGTAGCAAAAGTCAACAAGTCCCGCGACAACATTTTTAAAAGATCTGTTTTTATCACGCACTCTTTTCCTCGATCGAGACTCGAGCAGATAGAATCGCGGATGATGAGAACACGATCAACATGAACCACGATCAAACCCCATCGAATATCGACAATGGAATTCGTTCTACGTTGGTCACGATCGATCGATCCCGTCGATGGTCGTCGAAGAATTCATAACGAGTCGGAACGAAAGGACGATTGTAAAAAGAATCGGTGGAGGAGAAAACTAGCGTCCGATCGCAACGATGGTCGACGCTTGACTGACTGACTCACTTCGGTCTCGAAAAGCAAATGCCGCGCCGTGCAGCCGGACGACTCCACAGCGGCTGGCGCGCACCAGGGGCACCCGCCGAAGAACACTCGCCAGATAGTTTTTAAACGAGTCCCGCCTCCGGCTGTGATAGTGTTGCCCCTTGTCGGTGAACCACGCACCGTGAACACGTACAACACACGCGCTCTACGCTTGTGTCGTTTGACTATGATCTATAGGGTGTCTTTTAGAAAATATCATTGTTTTTCAAGAAAATTCATTCCAAATTTTCCGTGTTCCTATAAAAATATCGAAAAATCAAATCTGAATTCTATGAACCCTCTGGCGAACACGTGTTCAATAATACACATAGGAAATCGGTAAAAATTCTTAAAAATTTTAAGGAAAATCTGAAATTCAGCCACATGTATCGCTTCTGGAATAGGACATTTTGTAGATGATCGATCTTCATAGATCCTCATCGAAGCAATTCGATCGGTTAGGAGGCTCCGTAAGAGCGCACATGGCCTGCGCCACTTACATTAATGGCAGCCACTGTACCAGAACGTGGTGTGCGGGCAAGCTGGTGAGCCGGTGTGTTGGTGAAACGTTGAGTGGCGCGGATCGACGCCGGGAAATGGGCGGTCGGTGAGGGAAACGAGGGACAAGGAGAAGGGAGACAGTGGCGCCTAAGCCCCGAGGCAGAGACGCCATATTACTAAAGTGTGGGTGAGTGTCTGTGCGACGCACGATCAGCGCACACACACACTCTGATCTATGCGTGTATAACGTTTGATCTTACGCGCGCAAACACACGTATGGACGCTTGCACACGCACGAAGCGTCCTGGTGAACGAAGGAAGAGGGACGCGGCAACTTACTTTTGCTGTGGATCATCAGCCTTCCTGACAGCCGGTCGCCTTTTTAGCTTTTGTCGTGCGCTATGTTGTTCCGTGCTACTTCTTTTCCCTCGTCACGAATAAAAGCACGCGAGTATGCCACGCTTTATGCGGGCTTTTAACTATGCCGCGCTCCGAACGAAAAATCGTCCTTTGTACGCGAGCAAGATATTCGCGTGTCACTGGGCGCGCGATGAATATTTTCATTTTTATTTTCAATTTCACCGAGACTTTGAAGAAGAGAAAAGCTCTTGGTAATTGTTCTAACTGTTGCTGAGCGATCCGTAACGGTACGCGCAATACCGTATCGGTACATTAAGAAAATAAATGTGTTTCACGTTACACGGTTTTCCTAGCTGAAAGGGTTAAACGCGCCGCGATTACGCTCGCGTCCGAGACACCGCGTCCGTGGCTTTTAATGAAATTGCACTGCTCTCGTCGAGAAGGGTTTCATGCGTTAATGGTGGGATTACCAGGCGTAACAGGAACGAAATGTTTTACGAATACAGATCCAACAGGCTTTATTAACATAACTTACACATTCACCTAACATTATTTATTGATACAACTTACATATATCTGTTGAAATTTATCGAACGATCTTTGGATAAAAAATAAAAAATATTAGAGTTCAATTGAAAATCATTTACGAAAAGAAGCGATGAAAGGCGATAAATCGTCGGTCTTTGTCCACTAATCGGCTTCCCTTTCGATCGGCGGTCGCATTATGCATACGAGGATCTTCCCGATGACCCTTTTCGCTTCTCGATAGATCTCTTATTTTCGTCCCAAGCCGGATCGATCGTCGACGAAGAGAAATCACCACCTGGGACCAACCAGTTGTCGCAACGCAAAAGAGACGAGACGCTTATTAAATTCGCTCCGTTAATTCTCTGCTTCAAGTGGTTTCCTTGGAAAGAGTCTCCTCCGCGTATTTCTCTCGCAGACAACATAATCTTCCATCGTTCGCGTTGGTCTCTTTGTTACATCCATCCAGATGGCATAAGTTTTACGGAAAACGATCGTTTCCTTGAAGTTTAACGCGTATGTATCAAACGGAGAATCATAATCCCCGTTCCGAGTGTTCCTTTTCAGGGGGTCTAAGCACGTCTGGTTCGATACTTGGAGCGTAACCATCGCAAAAGTCGACGGTACTCGGTTTATTTTTAGACGGGCATTAGCCAATTAACTATTAACTCGTTGGCGCCACGGCGCTGCTCCTATTTTTGCTTATTTCTTACCCGGAGTAATGCATCGTTGCCCTCTTCCGAATCTTCGGCATGCCGCCGAGGACAATCTGGTCCATAGCGAACCCTGGTAAGTGCAGCTCGCTAACTCTTTGCCAAATAAAACACGCTTCTGCCAGAAGCGGCCACGTTGTCGATATTATTCTCCTGTCCGGTCGCATCGAATCTTCTCGCCTCCTTCTCTCGTCCAACACTAGAGACAAAATTACACAATGTTCGAAGGCCGACACACGTTTCCATCTGTTGATGAATACGCTTTGATCTCGTCCGAGTTCAAAGCGTTTCATTGTTAAACGACAGATAACAACGATGAGAAAAACACTGGTTTAACGAGCGAACCGGCTCGGTTCGTTGACACTTGTCGTCGCGATACATACGCGGCGATGCCTCTTAATTCCAAATCGACCAAGTGGAATTATCGCTTGCTAATTACGCTGGTGTACGCGGCGTGGCGTGTAAATTATTTCACGCTCGAACGGGGATTGAACGTTCCTCGAAGTAAAGCAAATAAATCAAAAGGAATAATGAAAGAACGAAAGAAGCAGCTCGCAGGAGAAACGTCTTGTTAGCGGCTCGTGGATGAACCAGTTAGACAAGCTGAAGATGTTTATCTGAGATATTTGGTCATTCGACGATGCCCGGAGGACGACGGGTATCCTACCTCGGAATCGAGCCCATACGTTTAGCCGAGTGATTGATTCTCGTCGACCGCAACGAATTCGGTGGTCAAACGTTCCACGCGGATCCATAGTCCTATCCGACTACCACCTGGTCCTAACTGGTTGGTTAGTTCTCAGGGTAGACCTAATGGAATAATACGCTATTGTTTGTCATGGTTCCGAAGCCGACATGACTAAGACTGTCAGTCATTATATGATCGACGATGTTGAAAAAAATAAGAAAGAAAGAATGGAAAGTTTCTTCGTACGGTACGTTGATCGTGGGTCGATTTAACGGTGCAGATGGCTAGACTATGATTATTCATTATTCTCTTTTAATTCCATTATTTACTCGTTAAAGTACATGTACATTTCTCCCCCATTAGAATTTGTTACGTTATCGTTAAGTTTCCCCACGAATTTCCCTATCAACCCGATAGGATCGTGATAAAAATGTAAAGCGTGTAAACGGGAATGCAGTTTGCTGTACGCATAATAATTTATCTTATCAGTGTACACATTGGCATCGATAGCTCTTCACTACCGTTCAATTTACTTTTCACTTCCTGTCGCGCGCTTCACGTCCAGCACGAGACTCCTCGATAGCGTCCAAGCACGATTCACACGTAGTCCCTTCGACTCCCATAGTTATTCGCTTCCACCCTGACAAGGATGACTAATTGCATGAAAACGAACGAAGCACCTGGTTTCAGAGCCGCTTTACCGAATGGACGGAATTCGAACAACGGACACCGGGCCCGACGTTAGTCACGTCGTTCGAAACAAAAGGTTTCAACGAGTTGGTGTTTGCACGAAAGTGTCCCTCGTTGAGCTTCGTCATTCGATGACTCTTGAAATCGGTAGCATCCCACGTTTCCTGGGATCCAGCGGGCCACCGTACGTCCATCACCCTGAATAAACAGCAAGAATGTTCGATCGAAGCGGACGTGGAAATAATTATGAATTCAAACGTTGAAATAGTTTAGCGATGTCGATTATCTTTCAACGCTACTGACTAGAGGGACTCGAAAGCTGACCGGTATTATTCATGACAAAATTCTTTTCAATACGGACTCGTTTAGCCTGTCGGCGGTAGTTATCTCCTGCATGGCTGGTTTCTATTTTTATTTTACATTCGTTAGTCGATCAGGAGCGTACAATTAAGAAGGAGTTAATTTAGCTGAACTAATTTTAATACTCGTAAAAGCTGCAATTAGATATAACGAGGAAACGCTTACCTGATTTAAGTTGCCCGAGAATGGAAGAAAATGAAAAGTCCTCGAGTATTAATCTCGACGATCTTCGAACAAGAATCTCCATTATTCCATGCTGGTAATGGTATAAGGATTCGTTTTCAGGAACCTACGAACAAAGAGAAAAATAATTATCATTGTTGCGAATTGAAAAAAGTAACAAAGTTTCTAATCGACGAGGTCCAAAAATATCCCTCGATAGAAACTCGTTTACCAAAATGTACACCACGGCTGGGCTTATCAGCCTCCCTTATCCTAATTCACCTCTATTTTCTGTGCACTCGAGGCTGAGTTCCTTCGGTGATAAAGAAAAATCCCTGGCGCCCGCGTTATCCTCGTGACAAGGCAACGTCGTTACGGACGCGGACAGAAACGTCGCCACATTACCGGTCGACCGTGTGAAACACGAGGAAATCGGGAAAGGAACGCGATATCGTCCCGCGCGCTCGTTCGGGATACAAGGTTCGAAGGCGAGATAAAGAAGGAAGAAAAGGAAGCAACACGTCCACGTAGGTGTATACGCGAGCCGAAGGCCAGGACATTGCCGAACTCGAAAAGCCACTTAACCGTTCGGGGGCCGAAGATTAGAGGGTAGACCCCTGCCGGCTCTTCGGGGCATCGCTATCTGTTTCAAGGGATCCCTCGAAAGAGGAGGCTTTTGATAAGAGGCCAGTTGCACGGCTTTTAGTGAACCGGCGACAAACCGGCCAGACGGAACCCACCGAAATCGGCCACCTAAGAAAAGGAACATGGAGACTTTTGCGGATAATAAAAACCGTCTTGGACGGAAACCGCTGACAGTCTGGCTTGATATCAGTTGAGATTCATTTTAGTCTCCGATCGCGGTTTTTAATTTGGCTTTCAGAGGACACGGCCACTCTGGTGGGCCAAAGTGATAGATGATGATTTTTAAAATATTTATTCAAACGGAACGTGTCTGCAAAAATGATACATTTGATTTGCGATAGAGCGCATAATTCTCGATTGTTTATCGAGAAGTATCGACAGTAAGGCGAGACACGTCGCACGTGGCAGGCTTATCGGATCGGCAATGAGAGGACTCCTTGTACGAGGTATTAATATCGGCAATATTTCAAGTCTGAACTGTCCGGCTAAGCCGATAATCTAGCTTCGGTACACGCGGTACCGATTTTCGACGCGCGACCACTCGATTGACCGTAACATCGACGACTATCGAGAGACAGTTGCAGTTTGTAACCTCGTGAACGGCGATTGTTAACGGGTCGCCGAGTTAATATTAGCACAAGGCTTTTCGTTCCGTTGCACCGCCGCTTTCCAATGGGATTTTTCAATCGTCTTTTAACAGGGGCGGGAACAAAGCGAGGGAAACAGCACGCGACTCGTCTAATATGTACAAGAAGGTAGCTTGTTTGCCTTCGAAAACGCAAACGCCACTGGTTCTGACATTTCTCTGGCTCGCACCGCGGCTTTTCCGCTCGACGACAGAGGAACGAATCGAAACTTTTGCTTCGATCGTGAATCTGAAAACGTTGGAGAGCGGCTGGCAAGCTGCTCTACGCCAACGAACCAATGCCAAACAATTACAATTACAAGCTTACATGCGAACGTTGTTTCTTTAATAAAGAGACGAAACGAAGTTTTGGCAGAGGCTCAAGGAAACGCGGGAAAAGCACGAGAATATTTCTCGATCGTACCGGATAGACGCGTACGAAAATCGAGGGATTAAAAATTACGTTGTTTATAATCGACGATGGGATAAGAAAGAGAGGTTGAAAAACACAGCTGGCAATAAATCAAACTTTCCATTTGTGAAACTCCCGTACGACGCTCGTGTTTGGCATCGTAAAACACGCGCTTGATATCGTTTTCCTTCCCGGCAAATTGTCCTTACGTGTGATCGGACACCTTAATCGAAGCTCGCGCTATTTACCGGCGAGAAGTTTTACGGTAGACGAGGTAATAAAAATTTTCGGACCTTGTGATAACGTAGCAAGCGGCTAGGACCGATATCAGAGCAGCGATCGCCAATACCACCGCAGCCACGTGAAGAGGTTTCACTCGGCTCTGAAGAAAATGATCCGATGATTTCCGGCCTCCAGCGATCGGTTCTTGATCGGACTGAATCGACGACATTCCGTTAAGAGTATCTGCATACATAATACAAACTTTCAATCATTTTCCGTCAAATAAATCTGCCTACTTTTTTTCTCATTTTCTTATCGTAATCGTTTTAAAGAACGAAAGGGTTAGCGTGAATGAATTTCGAATGAAACTGGTTTCCTTGAACCGGGTGGACCGGTCGATCGGACAGTCGAGATTTCTCGGACACCTCTAATGGTTGTAGATCGTCGTGTTACGAAAGAGGTTAAACGAGATGATTATTTACCGGCATGGTCTAAGGTGGGCTCCACGGTAAACTGCCCCTCCTCGTCGTCGATCCACGTGGACACGTTCACGTGGTGATCGGCGTTACAGTAGTCATGGCTGTCGCAACACTTCAATCTATGCCAGGGCATACGGATCCAGCCGGTCGACGATCGATCCACGTTGTCCGTTTGCTTCGACCTCGTGACCCAGGACTTTGTCTCGCACAACAATGGCGTGGCACCCCTGAGCAATGGCAACGCGCAACGGTTAACGATAAAACGGGCTCCAACTCGATAAAGTTCCGTGACCCCGGCGATACCATACGGGATTTAAATAACCATTCCGCGCGATTTACGTAGCGAGATTTCAATATTCCGCAACCGTATCGTCGTGTCATTTGCTCAGCCCCGAAGAGAAACCGATTGCTAGAAATTACTTCTGGAAAGGGTAAAATGGTACTCGAAATGGGGGTCAGTTACAGTTGTTTTGCGAGGCAACGCATCTTATCTTTGGTAAAAATTAATTTTTTTTCTCTTCTGGTCATCGTGGGTAATTGATACCGCGGCTATCTCTCGATAACCGTTAGAGTATTTAATTGGGATGTAATAAAAAGTGCTTGATTATTATTCGCGTCGAAATGATTTTTGACGTCTGTCCGCTAGAAAGAAAAGAAATAAGGAAAAAGAAATGATTCGTCAGAACCTTTCGAGTCTGATTATCTCGTCAAGGTTATCTGCTCGAAGCATAAAACCGTCCAGCGAATTTATCGTCGATCGTCGTCGGATCCGAGAAAAATTAAATCGTTTTCGATGTCAACTCGTACCGGTTGGAATTTATTCACCAATAACAAGAGAAAGGTTACAGGTCGTAGACTCACTTTTCATCGAATCGGTTACCGACGGTATCGTCAACACGTCAGTTCTTTTTCCTCGTTCAATTTTGTTTTGATGCTCGAAAATAGAAAACGTTTCAAAAATCTCGATCGCTCTAGAAACATGCCGAGGGACTATTTTCGAAAGGAAAAAATCTGAATATACCAACTCTGTGCATCCTTTCGTCGCGTTCTTTCCAAATTCCTGATTCCCATTCAGGATCAATTCCGTGTAACAAGAGAATCTCGTCTTGCACGTATCCAATCCGGCTTCCTTGCATACCTTGTTGGTGCACACGCATTTTCTCCCTGCAAATATCGACAAATATTTCCTGTCGTTTAAACGAACGACGTTCGTTTCGTGTCACGGTGCATCAATTACAGGTGTATAGATCGTTCGATATCACTCGAATGTCCGTGCCTCGCAGCAATTATGTCGCCAGGAAAAATCGATAACATAGTTACAAGATATATCAAAACGACTTACCTTCCGCTGACTCGATGTTGCTCGACAGAAGCATCAAGAAGGCCAGGAAGAAACGCGCGCGGATCGTTGGCTCGATAACAGATCGATCGAAATACATACCGATATTCGACACTCGCGAAGCTCTTGATAATGGAAAGAATCTTTCGCGTCAGTCGCGGAAAGAAGCTCATTGATAAAGAAATCGACAACGATGCAGGATCGGTTTGTTATCGAAGACAGGATTATACATTATCATCTTGAAATTGTCTGTCCGCGAACGATCTTGATGAAAAACCGCACGATCGAATCGACCAAAGGAAACCACCACTCGAGGACGTGAAATTATTCAATGGCACTTGAAACGAACGAGTTTTAGGGTGATCGATATCGATGGAATAATCGGTTGATGTACGGTCAATTTTTCGTCGTGTCCCATCGACGAACGGATAATTGTGAATAATAAAAATAGAAGGGTAAGGAGGAATTATTGAAAGTCTGTTGCCAGTTGGAATAAACTGGAGGCACTTGGACGTTGAATTGGTTCCAAGGAGGCAACCGTATCTCTCTCTGTTGGGGAAGTCACTCGTAAAAGCCGATCGAATCGAAGGCAGAATCACGGCGCCGAGTCGCGACTGACAACGAGACGTCGCGAAAACACGGGCGTGTTATCGGCGTAAAGGACTATTTGAAAATGTCCGAAGGAAGCTACAAGAAGCGACTTGTAACCAGCGTGGGCTCCTCTAATTTTAGTACCTCCCACTGGAAAGCGAAACGTATCCTTCTCTCTTCATCTCCTCACACCCATCGTTTTCGCTACTATGTCTTCTCTTTCCTTTGCTCATTTTTTATACTTCCCTCCTTTCTCTTTTACCTCGATCTACCACTTCACGAATTTTGCTTCTACGTCTATTTTAATTCCGTCATCGGTGACATTCTTTCCTCGCATAACTTTGCCGAACAGACGCACAATCGTTTCTTTCGAGGACGTCTCTTTTTTATAGCTGTCCTCTTCTTCTTTTTCCTAATGTTTTGTATTGTATATTTTATATCGAATAGTGAAAAATAATTTTTTATTAATTGCAATTGGTCAGACATTTTTGGGGAAAAAGATTGAATTTTCAATCAATTGAAAGAACGCTCCACCTTTTATTTGTGCAGAAATAAATAATAAAAGTTGCAATGTAGTTGTACTTAACAAGGCAACTAATAGCTTTTGTCTCTGGCACGGTCTGTTAGTTTGTTTTTCGTGGCTTCTCATCGGGGGTCGGCATAATCTTTGCGTCCCCTCTGGGACCACAATTTATTCGTACTTTTGCCGGATTTTGCCTGCCTTTTTGCGCTCTCCGGCCTCTTTTAAAGTCGGTCGATTTATTGGAAGAACAACACGGACTCGTTTATACCGCCACGGGAAGCGTTTCGCGGACGACTTCCAGATGGAAGAACCTGCTTCTTTGCGTTCAACCGACCATGGAAATTCTCGTGTTTGTCGATTAGATTATTAATTAGTCTCGCGTAAATTGCACAGGTAATCAGTGATGCATTCATCTAGAAAATTCATTTATCTTTCACTCTTCCGTCGTTTCCCGTCTTTCAACAGAGCGATCGTTCTCTGCTCGTGTTTCCATAGTTCAAAGACCACGGACGTGTCGTCGTCGCTTTTTAAAGAATTCTGCTGTGTCTATTTTTTTTTACACTTCCCCTAAATTCGACCGATTTATTGGAACAATAATGTCTAGACCGTAGTCGCGTTCGTATCTTTCTGTGACATATTTCGTATCGTCCAGATGCAACCAATCTTTGTCGGAACAGAATCCTCGTTAACGGACAACGGCGCCGGAAAATGGCGCTGGGAAAGCGAAATAGAAGCGACGAAAAGAAAGTTGCGTCTGTCGACAATTTTCAGCTTTCTAACGTGAATAGATTACACGTTTAATCATCGATTTTGCGGATTTAATTTACTCGAGTAATTGGAGTTGGCGTTGGACTGCATCCAACATTATAAGATTAATACTCGATATCTTTAATTACCCTTATAATTATGCATTATTTATACCGCAACAGACACAAAAAACACTAATTGAAACTGATTGAATTTGAAATGGAGGAACTTAATTAACCGAGTATGTATGTTGTGTCATACTAAGCATGGTTATTTCTACTGTACCAGTTTACATAGGATAAAAAGAACGATTCGTGTTGGTTTAAAATCGAACAACTTTCGAACGTCTCAATCGTGAGCATCGGCATCCAGCAACCAGGCAGACGAGAGTTTAATTCCCTGGTTGGTTTCCTGACCATGCAACATTAAGCAGAGCCCCACTGGTTGCACATTTCTTTATCGTCGTTGGTCGAGTGACAGTAAAAGCTGGCCTGGGTTATCGGAATGACACTTCGTTACAGTCGAACGAGGTCGCCGCCAGTCTACTTACTCTCTTGCTACTTCTTATTGCACGAGAACGGATCAAGTGTTCGCCGTAAAAAAAGATTTGCTCCGAGCACAAAGATTTCTTTCACTCGGTTAATTTATTAAAATGTATCGGAAACGTGCGACGGAATAGACCGATTCGAGCGTGGTGAAGAGTTGCAATTTAAATTCCTCCGTTCAAGTGTCTCGTTGCAGCTTGCATCCTTTCGCTCTCGATTATTTTTGTATTTTCAATGACGATATTTTCATTTCATAAAAGTCTTCATCCGCTACACGACGTTAGCCTAATTAACGTTAATTAACTGTACGATTAAATCGTGAGAATTGTAGTCTCTTTTGAAACGAGCTCGAGGAAAAAAAAAAATGGAGGATACACGAATATTAGTAATTGCAACACATCGAAATTGTTTATTTAGAGAACTTTTTATCACGGTTTTGCTACAATCGTTTATAATGATCATACGGTAGTTTCCACTCTCATCCTACGCAACTAATTACAATCACACTTGTGCGAAATGTCAAACGTGTATATCTGTATTTTTTTCTTTCGGTGCATACTAATTAATTTGATTTCTCGCTCGTTTCGCAACCAACTATAACGTCAAACTGATTATCACGGCAAATCGTACTACGAAAACAATGCATTGTACGTTAATTTTAATTAATCATCGAATTGACATGATCACAGCCAGTCATTTCACGATAGAGTATGATATCAAATTATTCAATTCCTTGGTTCTGTATAACAAGTTCTGTTAGTCCTTATCTGCGCAAAACGTATTACTTCTTCCCCCTTCTTCAATTAAAAAATTTTAATCACGAAGAAAACTGCAAATCGGAAAATTAGGACCAACCTACTAGTCGATCAGTGCATTCCTTGATCACGTTTTAAAGCTATTAAATACCAAGATCAAGAACGATCGTCACAGAAGCTCGCGCGGCTCTACAAACGTTGGAGTTTCTCCGGATTCCTCCCTTCTGCGAAGATTACCACGATTAACCGTTATCGAGGGATCGATCTTGAGACAGGAAAGCGGCGAGTAGCTGGTTAGAGGGAAAAGGAAGACGAAGAGTCGCGAAGATAAAGAGAAAGATAGACGGCAAGGGTGGAAAGGAGAGAGATAAAGAAAGATGCGCGAATAGATAGGGAATACACGTCGCCTTGAGTTGCATTCGCTCGATTGTCCTTTTTAATTAGCCCCCGATCTGTTGGTAGCCGGGCAGGTACGTCGACCAGGCTCGAGCGTGTCTTCTTAATTGTTAATGGGAGTTACGCCCATTCGAGGCCTCGAGAACGAGTTTCGATCGGGCTGGTTGCATCGTGCTCGATCGAATGGAAGCAGAATACAGATCGGTTCGAAAATCCGAAAATGCCTGACCGATGTTACGAAGCGACGAAACGACTTAGGGTCTAATCAATTCCGTTCTGCAATTTGTACTCCACTGACGCTATCGTAGATCACCGTTTTACAATTCCACGTATCTTGCCTCGAATCGAAAAACGATGATCGAGTAACGATTTGTCAGAAACATTTGCATTCCATGATTCTGATTGCTTCCGAGGGATTAATTATACAATTTTTTCAGTTCGATCCAAGTAACTCTAATGATAGATCGAACATGGAGATATGATCTCGGTTAAAATCGTTCATTTGTTCAGAATGCTGCCAGTGATCGAAGCCGCGACCGATTATCATGTCCGGGGTAGCTAAGTAAAAAGATGCGTTTATCTTAAATGTTCTCCGCAAGGTAATGACGCGATTAGGTCGTTCTGGCCGATCGAAGTAGCTCTCGAAGCGACACGATGTCTTTCGAGTAACATTACCTTGCAAAATGCCAGACGATGATCTTCCACTCTCGTCTCGTCGGCATAATCGTTTCGCTTAAGACAAAAGAACTTCACGCAACAACAGGGGCTGTAATAAAAATCAATGCACGTGTGATATATGTTATTAGTACCCGAGGTAGCAACAGGGTTACTATTCAGGGTTTGATGAAAGTGAACTTTGGAATTTTGGTACCAGTTAAATTGATATAAATAATGCACATACGTGCTTCGTTCTAGGCAGTGAAGTAATCATCCAGGAAATGAAAAAACCACAATATTATTATTATCTGAGAACGACGACCGACAACTCGTTCAGCGAAATGTAATTTACAATAACAGGCTACGTTTGATTTACATTTTTCTCGGAATGGTAATATTTTAGAATATAAATTAGAATTAAATGATAGTAAAATTCTGAAGCTTCATTTCTAAGATCTGTAGAAACACATCAATTTCTACCATTGTCCGTTCACTGAGATAACAAAACTGGTACTTACTCAGGTGATTGACTGCCGGCTGTGAGGCAACCACAAACATTTTTCTGTGCGACGGGAAAAACTCCGATGTCGGGATTATACTTATCGATATCTCGTTCTGGTTGCTTCCTGGCGGATTACCATGATCGTTTCGTCGATTGTCGTGTGTGCTGTGTCTTAATGGTACACCTTGAATATTATGTCTGCAATTACTGACTATATAGCTGCTCACCTAGTTTCAAAAAAGGAATCAAAAAGCCCCTTAGAAAATTAACGATCGAACAGAAACTAAACGAACATGCTACATCGTTTCTAGGGATACGACACAGACGATTTACACGACAAACAGACTGGAACAATACGATTCTGAACTAGCTACGCTTAGTTTTTCTTTTTCATTTTTACGAATGATTTCAATGAGAATACCAGCTCAATTTTAAGATTCAAATCCGCGGGGATGGTTCTCTTGTAAGATCTCTAAGGTGATCGATTTCCAGTGATTACTTACCGAAGAGATGATGAAAACAGCGAGTAAAGCAATGCCTAGCCAAAAGTACCAGGCTTCCCAAAAGTGTCGTGGTGGCCGTCTTTGTACCAATAGACAACACTGAGAATTGCAACAACAATACAAGCAATATTTATCTGGAGTGCACGCGTACGGTTTGATCGCTTCACCGTCTTCGGTGCTGTTTTTTAGAACCACGTTACACTCGTAGTAAAACCGTGCCATATTAGTCGGACATAATGTTAAAACGTTGAGGTTCAATGAAAATTAGCTGAATTATAATTAAAAATTGGCAAAGAAACGAGACGTCGCGCGAATCGATCAAGCGGCATTGAGTCACGAACGATCTAAAAAAAAAAACCTTGTTATTTTCGGAATGCATAACGCCGTCGGCGCCGCTTAATTTACCACACCAGACACCTGTTCCCCTTACTTACCGGGTTGATGACACGCGGCAAACACGCAAAATACTCTATCTGGTTCGCTTACTTTTTGATTTTTCGTCTGGTCGCGGCAGCAAAACGACGGGAAAGCTTTCAAGCACGGCCACGTACCCGGGTATGACTGTTTTGTCGCTCATTTGTCCGTTCAGTCTTATCACCGACTGAACACTGGACAGGCTTGAAATAATCGATAGAACAAGCTTGCAATGTCCTTATTCACACGCGACTTTCGATCGATACGCTAAATTGACCGAGTTTGTAACTTTGAAAAATTGCGCTCGTCGACGATCAAAATCGACCGCGATTCTTCCTCGTCTTTCCATCGTATCGACTTAGAAACTTGAAAAAAATAATTAAAAAATTTGCTTCGTTATTAAGAAATTTATTACGAAACTTTTGAATGAAATACAGATTTGTACAGTCGATAAATCTACACTAGTAAAATGAAATTCTTACGTTACAGTTTCAAGGAACCGAGGACCTCGAAATAATACAAATAAAAAAGAGTAAAGTTAATATTGATTCGAATCGTGAGGGGGTGGAGGTGGAGGAGGACCTCTCGGTGGGAAGGGTGGTCGAAATTGCGGAGGCGGAGGCGGTGGCGGGCCACCTTGAGAGACGGGAGGTGGTGGTGGATGCCTCCAGGTAGGTGGTGGCCTTGGTGGTGGAGGTTGAAATTGACCGAATTGTGGGGGCGGAGGTGCTCCGGTAGAAGACGGAGGCGGAGGCGGTGGGAACTGTCCTTGAGGCGGCCCACTGACACCCCAATGAGGAGGTGGTGGCGCCATCATTCTCGGGGTCGTTTGTTGTGCTTGTGACGTAGGGACGGGCATGGGTGGTAATGGGGGTGGCATGCCAGGGGGTAAAGGAGGATGAGTTGCCATTGACATTGGAGGCAAGGGAGGTGGTGGAATACTTGCTGGAGGGAAACCACTGGATGGTGGTGGCGGAACGGGAGGCGGAGGTGGATGACCCATTGGGGGTCCTGGGGTTGCCGGGGGTGGCGGAGGAGGTACCACCATGCCATGATGCATCACATGATGCTGGGGATGATGGGCAGCTTGATGAGAGGCCGCGCTTGAATTCGGCATCGGAGGTGGTGCCAATGGAGGCGCGTCGGCAAACAGTTGATGAGGTCTGTCGGCTTGACTTAGCGGATTTTGGGCAGCTAACAATCGTTCCGCCGCACTTCCGTGCCTTTCTCCCTTAGCGTCGCGTTTAAAGGCGTACGATACGGAAATAGGTCTGTTACACAGGTACTGACCATTCATGGCTTCTATACTTGCATCAGACGCATCAAAGGAGGCGAAATTTATGAACGCAAAGCCCTTTGAATTTCCCGTTTCTGGATCTCTCATTATCTGTAACATAAATATATTTTAACATAGTAGGCTAGTGTATATCCAATTATCCAATTATCAGGATATAATACCTTTGGGGTTTGTAGTATAACACCAAATGCACTGAAGGTATCATACAATAGTTTCTCATCAACTTCTGGATCAAGATTTCCAATAAAAATGTTAGCCCCAACATCTAAGTTCTTCTGATGGGCACTTGCTTTATTTACCCTTATAGGTTTTCCATATAATTTTATCATATTCATTATCTTAATTGCATAATCTGCATCCTCTTCCCCCATGAACTCAACAAATCCATACCCTGATGCATTTGAGTCACCCTGTCTTTAGGCATGTGGACATTGACTGAAAAATATTATACAATCGATTTTAATTAAAGATCCGAAAATAGTTAATATTAGGTTGTCTATTATGTTGATTACATACCCACTGGTCCTGATTGAACAAACAGTTCCCACATGAGGGACTCTGTAACTTTATCATCCAGTCCACCAACATATATTGTGGCATCTGAAAATATACAGATTTTATATAAAACATTAGAAATTAATAACTATTGAGTGGAATTAGTGTTTATGTTTACTTAACCTAATATATCTTAATGATTTCAACTGTAATGCTTTGCAAAAAATATTTTCTACGGTTACAATTATTGTATGATATATTACAATTAACGAAAAGCTGTTAAAATGTTATAAATACATATTTCGATCGTAAATTTACCTTGATTACGTTCGGCAATAGGACCGGCCGCCATGATTATTCCTAGTCTGTAAGTTTCACCATTTGGATGTGTTGTGGTAACCCTGAATCCAGAAAAAACACGACACTAAAATATAAGTACTCTTTGGTGAAACCATAGGCGAGGTATAGTATAGACCTTCACCCAATGCTTTTTTGTGTCTCGCCTCTATGGGACCCTAGAATCCCCTTATCATTTTTGTTTCACATCCTACTATGCCAACACAGCCCTTCTATCACAACCCTTTTGGTGGCAGGAACTTTATCATTTGACTTAGGCAATTAAAAGGACACAATTTTGACCCCCTTTGATTCCTCCAAAAATTATTAAAATAATTGTCTGAGAAGTTTGTATGTATTCATTTATTTCTCATTTGACTCGGTTGATTTTTGATAAAATATAAAAACAATGTACATAAAAATCAAACTTGGTCCCCCATGTATTTTGACAGTTTTATATAAGTGCATTAGTGTATCCTACGGTGTGGTACCCCATGTATTTTGGAATGCATACACATGTGTTTTATGGTGTTTCATGGTGTGGGTTCCAATGTGTTTTTGCATATTTATACCGATTTATTAGTTGGTTTTGTGGTGTAGTTCCCTATCCGTACTTTTATAATTATTTAATGATGTTTAATGGTGTAATTCTCTATACATTTCTCCCGTACTTTTACAAATGTATTACTGTGTTTTATGGGGTGGATATTATTTTGCATGCGTGTTTTTAAATTTGCATTGGTGTTGGGATATTTGCAAAATTATAAATATCTGTTCATTGCATGTTTGCATTAATTAATTATAATACAAATGTTAATTAAAAAATGTATATCGTTCAAGAATCGTGATTTTTTGGGTTTCAGAAGGATACTTTGGCCAAAGTGAGGGTACCATTTCCATGGCGAGCTACTGATTAATCATGGGTCAATCATGGATCAACCGTGGGTCATTTTGAGGGACATTGGGAGCGCTGTGATGCAGGTCAACGATCGGTGAGTCGCATGCTTTAAAGTTCCTCCGGTTCCCATCATGTCATAGGACGAATGGTCCGAAACGACACGGGAATTGGTTGTAATTTTTATCTTCTGAGCGAGCATAGTGATACACGAATATCACTGTATAATTTTTATACAATGATAATCGTGAAAATTATTTTTCTGTGTTTTATTTGTTAGCTCAGGCTAGGGTTCTCTTGTACATATTTACATATACAGATTTCAAAATTAATAAAAATGTAGAGAAGTCGGATGACCCTCCGATTTGAGAATACATTTTCTTTTTCATATGTACAAGAAGGTATTTCGCGATGAGCAGAATTCGAAGTCAAAGTAATAAGCATGAATATCTTTTATTGTTCGAAATAATTACTTTGATAACGAAATCGCTCTTGAAATTGAAACGTTTCTCAGTTTTATTCGTGATATTTGAATGATATTCTTTCTTTTAACAAAGTAAGAATATCAATGCATTAGCTTTTACTAATCATACATTTTAGCTTAGGCATTTCAGCACACATGAAGAAAACTGGTAGGTGCAAACACCTTTGGCCTTGTTCATTTTTATGCCCAAAGCTCATTCGGGTACTTAGATGTACTCGCGTGGGTGGAGGGCGGTGGACAAGGTTTAGTTTTAAGAATAATATATTGTGGCGATTGACAAAAATAGTGAACCAATAATAGTGAACCACGATATAAGTTCCACATGTGTGTGTGTGGTTAGGATGTGGGATTTGTATCGTTTATTAATAATCTAGTTAATCTAATTAGAGTATATTTATCGAGATTAAATTGAAAAGTTATTACAATGCATAATTAAATGTGTTACTTTAGCATAATGTTCACTATTATTTGTCAGTCGATTTCAGCAAAAAGGTATGAATTTATTAGAGTGTGAATGTTGAATTGAACTCGGGTGTCGGAGGCGTCCCGGGACGTTCTCCCTAGGTATAGGCTTTTTTGCACCCGGGTGGTTATGTGAGAATCGTGGAGTGAATTTTTGTGAGAATGGTTTTTGCCCTTTTTTAAATATAGCAATAGGCAGGCAGGTAGTTTACTTCTGGTGTGATTGAGTTTAGTTTATAAGTAGGCAGGGCCAGAGCAAGCTTTCATGTTTCTCTTCGTATTCTCCTCTAATACGTGAGAAGCTTGTATCTGGGGTTGGGAAAAAAAAATCAAGAGAAAAGATGAAAATGCAATATAATTAATTTATTAATTAATTTGGCATTCTCTTTCTTGATTTTTCTTAAGGCCATGCCTTAGTTTGTAAGTCGTAGTCGTGGTATTAGACCCGATTACAAAAATAAAATATTACAGTGAAAGTGCAGTGAAGTGAAATTAAAAATATTTTATGCTTGAACATTTGTAAAAATAGTGCATGTAGGCGAATAACGATTCATGGAATTGTTACTCGTTTATATGTTTCCTTTTTACGAATTTTTGAGCAAGCGTAAAATTTTCGCGAGTGATTTTTGTGAGGCTATTGCCGAAGAAAGAAGAGGCTATATGCTGAAGAGCCCCGGCAAAATTTGCCCTGAAGAGGGGAACTACTAATGGCTGTCCATCTTCGGATGGACAGTCATTCTGTCACTATGCTCGCTAATTTTTTTTGTTTTTTTTTTTTGTGTGTGCCTTTTACCCATATTGAACTCAAAATTTTACGTTTGCGCCTCAGATGTAGTCATTTATATTTTTTTTCATATGCAACAAAGTGCACCACAAAATGGTTGGTAAAAATAAGGGTTTAAGCTGTCGGTATTTCAGAATGTGACACGAAGTCTCGTAAGATGGTAGGTCTATTCTTTATCTCGTCTGTGGCATACACATATAATAAAGTTTCACAAGGCCATAAATCAACACAAATTGTATAAAACCAACATATTTAAATTTATTGAACCATACTGATAGTAACATAAAATAACATCATAATTTATAACAATTCTTTAAACAAATATACAATTAAATTCTTTTGGAATGTTCATTGTTCAGTTAGCACTGGGTCCTTGAGCTTCTTGAGTTGCTAAAATAAATATATCAATGATTATTGTTTGATCCATATTATCATTGGTAAAAACAATTTACCCTTATAAGAATATTCTAAAGCAGTTGCTATAGTCCTCATATCCCCTTCAATGCTGCGTGCCCAATTTTCAGCATCACCAATTTCTTTCAATGCACTTGAAAAGGCTTCTACTAAATTCAACCAACACTGTGTCTGTTTTGCAAAATTTGTTGCACTATGTTGTAATTGTTTTGCTTCTGCATCCAATTTCTTTTGATTCAAGTATGCTTGGGCTACTCTGTATAAAACATTTCTTTGCTAAGAGTATTATCCTGTTGCATTCTATAACAGTCATCCAATACTTACCCTACATTTAGGTGATCAACCAAAGCCTGTGTTAAGTTGCTTGCAGCTTGAACAGCTTCCTTTCTTTTTTGTTCTATTAAAATAACATCAGATTTAACATGATCTTCTATGGTTGTGATAAGGTGATGGATGTAGAAAATTGTGTATTTTACCCTGTCTCTCTTTCCTTGCTGCTTGCTTGCTTTGATGCTCTTTCACAATTGCAGACAACATTCTTTTTAATAAGCAAATGTAACAATTTGTGAGATACTGACTGCTACAGGTTACATATACATAAATACTATAGGCTTTGCTTCTCCTGAAAAATTCATAAGTAATGTCATGCTTTCATTCAGAAATCTTCTCTTGAACATAACTGTGTTGCTTAAAATAATTTACTTACAATTAAGTGCTATATGTTCTTCTGTTTATTGATTACAAAAGTAAGTGTATTTCAATCTGGTAATGTGACATTTTGAGTGTCAAAAAGCTTCCTGTGAATTCTGCTTAAGGCATTAGAGTGTGGACAGACATTATAAGTATATCATTCCAATGTTGAGACAAGGTGGAAATATTGACCAATCAACAATGAGTAGCACGATGGTATAGTGTATTTTAATCATTTGATCAATCAATGATTGGACAAAATGAGAGAAAAACAAACATTTGGATGAGAGATTCTTCAGCAAAGGATAGTGTTCATCAGCAGATGGCGTTGTATCCGAATTTTTTAAGTTCTAGTATACGGAATAACGAGTATGGCGACTAATTCTGGTTAGTGTGAAGTTTACCTGTTGATAATCGAATCGAAATTGACTGGAAGGAACTTAGGAAATAATTCCAATTATAACGGGCCGCATTGCCTTCAGCGAACACCTCGTTGAATAAAACATTCTGCTCTAATGAGGTGGTCAACATTTTCATACAAAACAAGTGTAACCAAACGATGTACCAGAATCTCAAGAGTACGAAAATTAGAAAAGACGTGTTGCCATTATTTATACATCTAGCATAAGTCGTTCGATAATGGTATTCATGGTTGCAAATGCACTGTGAAGGACCTAATTATTAATGATTCTTCACAGTTTTCATTCACGTGTAACGAGATAAATAAAAATGTAATGTAATTGCTGTGCATATTCGTATAATTAACTCTCTCTATTTTTCTTTGGATAAGAGTGTTTCAAAAATTTCATGTGAGAGAATGGCAATTCGCATTACATTAGAATGTGGGCACGCATCCATGTTACGCATGCGTACCACTCCTCAGGGTTACACTCATGATTGGGAAGTGTTTGTGAGGGGTATTGATAATGCTGAGATTCACCATTATGTTGAGAAAGGTAAATATACTTTGGGGTGAACTCTGCTGATTTTTGAGTACAAGGTGAATCTAGTGTCTTAATGATTTGCCTTTCAAATTTTAGTGGTTTTTCAATTACATGAAACATTCTCAAAACCAAAGAGGGTCCTAAAAGAACCACCATTTGTGATAAAAGAATCTGGGTATGCTGGTTTTGTGATTCCAATTCATATTTATTTAAAAAACAAGGAAGAAGGTAGCAAAAAGATAGAAATTTTTTATGATCTTAATTTACAACCAAGTGGTCCTGCTATCACAAATGTCATAAGGCATACTGAAATAATTAATAATCCCTCTGATGAATTCAGGAGGAAACTATTAAAAGGTGGTGGTGTAAGTATATGTCAATTTAATCTTTACAGATATTTTATGCTTCTGTGCAGCTTGTAATGGATATTGTATAAATAGGTTGTTGTGAGCAGTTCTGAAAATTCAATTGAAAAGAATGAAAGCAAAACCCCAGCCACACTTGGTAAACCAAAGTTGAGCGGAAGCGATTCGAAAAAGCACAAAAATGCGGAGTCGAAAATGTCGAATTCTTTTGCCGAATTGTTTGGAACCCCGTTGAAACCTACGAAAGTTTCTCAGGAAGCTAAAAAGCCTACGCAGGCCGAAAAGTCATCGGCTTCCAAATCGTTAGTTACCCCCGAAAAGTCTGATAAGGTGGACAAGCCTAAGCTTAAGGATAGTCCTCACAAAGATAGTAAAAAAGAGAAGGTAGATGATAAAAAGGACAAGAAGATCAGAGATCCATCTAAAGAGAAAAATCGTAGTAAAGAGAAATCGAAAAGGCCTTCTAGTCCAACAAATAAAAGTCATTCGAGCCCTTCGAATAAAAGACCCCCATCACCTCCTCCAGTTTCCTTAAAAAGACCTCCCAGTCCTTCTCTTCCTCCGGCGAAAAGGCCGACGTCTCCGAAACCGAAAGAGAAAGAGCCTAAGAAATTAACCGTGGAGAAAGAGAAGGACAAAAATAAAGAGAAAGATAAATCGAAAGACAGTTCGAAAAACGTTGCGGACTCTTCGAAGAGCGAGAAGAAGAGAGACAAGAAGAAGCACAAAGAAGATCGCGACAAAGAGCGTAAAGATAAGTATAAAGAAGGTGAACGATCAGCTTCGAAGGAAGCTGTGAAACTAAACGAAAAGAAAAGTGATAAACCAGAGAAATCGGAGAAATCCGAGAAGGAGAAGAGCCAAGAGTACAAATCGGCGAAGGACGGAAGAAAATCGCCGAAACCTCCGAAGGAGAATGAGAAACCAAAGGAAGAGAAGGTGTTGAAGGCGGAAAAATCGGAGAAGCCTGAGAAGTCTGACAAAACGAAAGATGGCAAGAGCGAGAAGGACAGGCAGAAGCACAAGCATAAGAAGAGGGACAAGAAGGACAAACGAGACAGTAGTAAAGACAGAGAGAAGAAGGAGAAACGCGAGAGAATAAAATCATCGACTGAAAAACAAAACAATGTGCCTAACTTGTTGCAAGAAATACCGGAAAGGGATAGTAGCGACTCGGCGCCATCGGTTGATGACGATTCCTTCACCGAAACTAAGTTAGTGCCTAGCGTTAAAAAAGAGGTGGAAAATCAGACGGTATCTACTCCTCCTACGGAAATGGCTAAACCGTTATCACCCACGATGCCGGCGGATATTAAGAAGGAGAAGGTTGAACGAATCAAGAAGGAAAAACCGAAGGGAAGCAAAGGAGAGGAGAAAGAAACTCGGAAGAGGAAACGAAGAAGCGAAAGTAAAGGAGACGACGAGCATGTGGTTAAAAGGGAGAAGGACAGAGGTCATTCTACGTCTCCTCCTTTGGAGCCTGTTTCCTCGAGTCAATCGCCAGTGGTGGTTGACCAGGAAACGGTTCACCTGGCCAAGGACAAGGATGATCGCAATGCGACGGAACAAATGGTGGAGAAAAGCGCGGAAATGGAAGCGGAACAAGTGGCTCCGGATTCGACGAACAGTACGCTGGTCGAGTCGGACATGGGTGAACCGCCGGTATTCTCCGAAGACTATGTGTCTCAATTGAAGGACTTGCAACAGAAAATAATGACGTTGCAAGATAATCAAGAGCTACAGCGAGTTGTCCAGGTAATCGCGGAGACGGGTCAGTACGAGATCACGAAGAAGACGTTTGACTTTGATCTGTGCGCCCTGGATCGTAGAACAGTGCAACGTCTGCAACAGTTCTTCGCGTCGTGACCGTCTGTAGCTTAAATCATGACATCCATCGTTTATTACATATTATTAATCTATGTATTGAGTCACTAAGTTATTTGAGCTTACAACCGATACTTTCGATATTAATACGAGTCGTATATATGTGTATGTATGCGTAAGACTTCAGAAAGATTCGCAGTTACACCTCCTTGAGAAAAGGAAAACGATAGAAGATCGCTTTTGTCTGAGCATACGTTCGAATTTTCGTTTTGATCGCATTGCATAAGTTATGCTTAAAAAAAAAAAGAATTTTGAGTACGAGTTGCATCAAGATACATGGTATTGTCTTTCTTCGTCGTCACGAGATTAGCTTATTTTCTGACATTCTTGCAGGTTTGCAGCATATGTTATTTTTGTTATTTTGTATATAGATAATATACATAGAATCTGTATAAAGCACAGATTTGGAATTGTACATTTTAACCATGTAAAATAGAGAATTTTTTACCTGTTTCTCTGAGGAATATCGGAACATGGTCTACAGTGCATTTATTCGTGTTATGTAGACACACCATATATATATGGATATATATATATATATATATATACATATATATGTATTTGATTTCTTGTATTATAAATATAAAAGATTACGTTGATTTTTACGGTAATCGGGGTCGTTTGAGAATTTCGTGCATCACATTGCCTTGTAACATAGATATATTCTTGATATCTCGTGGAGAATTTAACGTGGGTTCACCTACTTGAATCGCACGCAAAAAAAATGAAAAAAAAAAGAAAAAAATACAAAAACACCTATTATATTTATTGATATTTTCATACGCGTCGTGATTAATGTAAGAGCGAGCAAAGCGATCATTTGATAATTTATATTTGTTGGTGAACGTCGACGTACTTTTTGTATCGTACATGTAACACTTGTATAACGAGGTAGATCACCGTGGTCTAAAAGAAAAATTAAAAAACACACACAAATTTAACACGCGACGATCGTATAGGTATATACCATGCAACATTTTTATTTACTTGTACAGAATATTTCGTAAGTATTAAATTGATAGAATAGTCGAGGGGTAAGCAACATTGACACGTCATAGAAAAATGAAAAATACAACTTTTATACTTATTTTCAAATCATTGGTCATTCATTTCTTAGTTCACACGTGCCGATGTGTTTCCCCTGATCTTGTGATGCATTCGGGGTTGTGTTTGCTTCTTCAAACGAGAAAATGAATGTTTCACGTATTTTGCCGATGGAAAGGAAAACCTTGTACCGCACAAATTATATCAATATTCGGTCCGCACCGTGTAAATGTATGTTCGAAGTGAAAAGAAAGAATCCTTTGCTGTCGTATTAAAAAGAAAATCCACAGAGCGGTCACGATGTTGCGTGCAATTGATACACCAAATAGTCTAATGTTTTTTGATAACGTTATCTTATAGTTAATGAAGATTGTACATTAGATAAGTACCGTGGTAGTTTGTATAGTTTTTGCAGGAAGTTATTTATTACACCCGACGAAAACGATGCTTCGAATGTCGATCAAACGAACCGGCAGATTGTTAAAGAGACGCTAATTAAATATGCCTGAAACGCATATTATTCCTTGCATTTTCTCTCGTCTCGTTGAGAATCAATTTGATTCATTTCCTACGACATTCGAACGACGCGTTGCCAAAACTGTAGTAACATTAATTTTTCAATGTTACGATCGGGGAATCGTGATTGGAAATTCGAGATCGATCGTTGAGGAAGTTATTGATTTATCTGTTTTGCGAAACAAAGATACCTAATTTCTTGAATCTATATCGTTTCTATTGGTTTCCTTGAAATCGTAACACTTTTATGCTATCGATCAAAGAGAGTCTGTTAAAGCTAGGGCATTACTAGAAACTGCAGGATAGTTGCTTTATCTGCATACCATTTTTTTATCAATTAGAATCATTAGTTAAATATATTGTTATATTAATTAACGGATTCGATTATTCGAATGGAATTTTGGTTACAAAAGAATCGTACTAACTTTCGTTGATCAACACTATAAATTTTATGATATCATTGTTTTAGTTGATTTTTTCGAATGACCTTTCGTGTCAGAAAATACGCTTGCAGTTTTATCATTAGCGTGATACGTATGTATTACGCGACATGATACGCAGTTTTAGCAACGAGAAAGATAACGAGAGATTTTCTAGCAGAATGTTATTGCCTTATCATGTCCGTTGTGTTTTTTATCGTTAGAATTTTTTTTTATACTTATACGTGGATATATTGTCTTCGTATCTTTTTTTTTTGGATATGTATGTGTGCAGTATATTTTCCTCCTTTATTTTTGTTTCGTAGACTATTCATGTTTTACAGACGAGATATTGTATATTTGTTTGTTGCATGCTCGAGTTTTGATTAGACGTTAAGTTTGTTGTGGGGTGTCGTATACGTGTCCAGACTGGCTCGTATCGAAGTCATTGTACGATTACCGAACGTTTTTGATAGACTAATTAATTGTATAAAGAATGTGCACAATTGCGCGAATCGAGAGATTAACCGAGGATTGTCACTGATGTACATAGTAGATAACGAATAATCGCGAACTGCGTATAATTAATCATGACCTACGAGAAAATATAGTACAAGACAGTACTCCTGAATCGATATGCCATTCGGTGTACATTTATACGTTCAGTGTACATTTAATGAGTACCTTTGGTGATTAATAAACATCTCATATAACTGTGCCTCTATCAAACATGCATTGCAATCTTCTACGAACTTAGAAACTAAGGAAATCGTGGTAATTCTTCTTCTTCTTCAAAAAAAAGAAAGGTATTTATTATTTTGTAAATTGTAGCTTCATTTCGAGGGATGAGAGATTAGAAATGGGGTGCTTTTTTTATAGGATTTTAAATTTTATTTTGAAAATAATTATATTTCTTATAACAACAAAGGTTATTGAAAATTAGGCCAATTGAGCAATTTAGTCTTTAACTAATTAATTAATTAATTTTGTTTCAGATGTGTCGAGACGAAAGTGAATTCTCCTGGGTTAGAGTTTTCAAGTTGCATCGCGGACGAAAGTTATTAGAAATTTGAGCAATTTAGCCTTCAACTAATTAAATAATTAATTTTGTTTCAGATGTATCGAGACGAAAGTGAATTTTTCTGGGTTGGAGGTTTCAAGTTGCATTGTGGATAATGTGCTGCTATACCAAGCCTAGTGAGTAGCATATTTGAAACTGGTTATATTTTTTTCATTGTTAAAATAAGCTACCCCATCTGCCTGTAAACCGAATTCCTTACCTGACTGGGTCAGACAGGGTGTGGATGTTTATGCAGCATCTCAGGTTCAACCCTCTTCAAATAGAGGCTGGAGCATTGATTCATTATTCTTCATATCTTTTTGCACTATGTAAATTAAGGTGATCATAAGATGTTTGTGTACAATTGAATTAATTTTGAATGAATACAGGGTTTAATATTAAGAATCCTGAAAAATTTTAATGCAATATTTTATTAGTGCAAAATAAAATAAAATATGATTGAATCTCGTCAGTGGTTATCGCTGAGAAGTGTTAGATTTAAGTAGATATATATTTAACAATTAGATAACATATAATATCAGAAATCTACAAGATTTTTCTTTTATTTAATCGGCTTTAATACTCACCTCTTATCATTTGATAAATGAACGAAAAATGAAAAGTGTCTCATTAAAGGAAAAAAATAGTAGTTTTCCAACGAATTCTACTATAAAAGCCTGTATAATTAGTAACGCATACCACATTACAGCAGTTTATTGGGTCTGGTGTAATATTTCGTACAACGATTTAACAGAGTTAAATTCCTCACGGATCCCTGTACATTTGACCATCATTGTCGCGGTAACAATAGTGCAATTTCGATAAATAATGTCCGATTCCCGCGGTGTCCACAGTGTTTCGGCCGTGCTTCGTTCGCCGATCTCGCAACGATAGGTCGTGTTCTAGAGAGTCCTTTATGCAAAACATCGTAGCTCAATCCCCACGCACGGCGTTGTAATTAATATACGAAGCGTAAAAGGACCAAATAATTTAGTATCCCGCCAATTCGGCGAACGTGGAGTCCATCTCGTCGGCGAGAGACTTGTATCTGTCCTTGTTGATGCCCAGCTCGTCTGGAAAAGTTCATACAACACATTTAGTTTTCCACCCTTTTTCTTATCGCGATTTCTATCGCAATTCGTTTAGATCTAATCGATACCATCCTACGTATTTTCTACTAATTTTCACGTGCTTCACCGATAAACAGCTTCTATAGTATCAAGTAAAGAAAATGTTTGAAAAATCTATTAAGATATTAATTCTTATTTATCGGTCAAGCACACAGATACACTACTTATTTTAATGAACCTAATTCGCGGTTTAGAATTAATATGAATATATATATATATATTGATCGATTGGTGGCTACTGGAAGGGATGTTAACCCTACGTAAAAAAAAATAGAAAAACGTGACATTCACGTGAAACTGTTCGATACTGGTGCAACAGCATTCGTCCTAAAAAAATCACACTTGCCTCGTGAAAATCTAAGGAAACTTTCGTACAACGTGGTGTATGTCAGTGTGTTGGTACGATACAAAATTGTCCACAAAAAGCGTGGTGTAAAAGCAAACGTTAAATGAGGCGTTAACGTATCGTTATGGGAAGAAAATCACACGTTAAACGTAGTAACTTTGATGAAATTTTCCTCGTTGGTTAATCACAGTGCTCGAAGCATGCAAGAATCGTGAGGTGTAGTATACCTTTGCACAAGTGTAAGGCAAACAGTTTTTGCGAGGGGTTGTCAAATGTACCTGACGTACGACGGCCCACATAAACGTGCGAAGCTTTTTTTATTTTTTTATTTTTTTATTTTTTGTCATTTTGTTTCATTCTGTTAAGTGTGTGTTCTTTTACGCGAATATTAATAAACAATGCTCAACGTGAACGACGATTACTAATTAATTTGTGTTCTCACAAAACTAAGCGAAGCGCACCCGAATTCCAACGAGACAAGGGGCGAACATTGATTCGAGGGAAAAATAAATAAATAAAGTATTAGAAAAATGTTGAGATGAATAGCGAACGAGATTCAGCCTGACAAACACGAGAGAAAAGCGAAAGAACATAGAATGCATTTGTATCTTTCTCCTCTTGTATGAACAAAAAGAAAAATAATTTGTTAAGAGTAGAAAGTTGAAACACGCAGAATTCCGAAGCAGCGGAAGAAAAATAAATAAAATGTGGCTGAAGCGGATCAATATCTTTTTTTAACGTGACAGAAATGTTTCGTGTGAGGGAATAAAGAAGAGCTTTTTAGAACGAGTATGAGTGATATTCGCTTTCATTTAGTAGCCAGAAAGCTCAGCGAATGTCTTGTCCAATTCTTCGCAAATCGTTTTGCGTTTCTCCTTCTGCTGGTGCAATACGTCTGTAAAGAAAATCATTACGTGTTGCACGATGATGTGTCGTTCATTATCGCGTAGATTTCTAACGTACACTACCTTCGTTAGCTCTGTAACTATAAATCGATTACTGCGAGCAAAAATAGACATTAATTCCCATAGTATCATAGATTTAACGGGTAAATATCGTTTTATCAGCGAGTTTGATAGAATATCGCTGACATCGACTGAGATTGGCAAATTGACCACGAATCTTTGATTCCATTCCAGTGTACCCGGATAACGGAAGCGTCGTTTGTCACTTTGCCAAATTACGTCAGCGACTTTACTTGAATTTCGTGCAAAATAATCGGAGAATACTCTCCGGCAACCACAACGTAGCGAAAGATTTTCGTTAACAATTGTCGAGAGGTAGAAAAATGTAACGAGCTCACCTTCGAGCCTGTCGACCTCCTTCTGCAATTTCTTGACTGTTTTCTCAGCGAATTCAGCGCGAGCTTCGGCCTCCTTTAGTTTCACCGTCAACGTTTTGAGCTGACGCTTGAATTCTTCCACTCGTTGATTAGCCTACATCAGTTCCAATTAATATAACACACATACTCATCGAGTATCACAGAAGAGTAACAAATAACTCACTTTCTCTTCGGAAACTTCCAATGATTTCAAGCTGTTACCGACGACCTTCAATTCTTCCTCCAACTCCATGATCTTGCTATGAAATTAGAGAAGATAAGATGATAAAACGAAGGTAGATATTTTTATAAAACAGAAGAAAAAGAAGCTTACGCTTCACCGGATTTGACACGATCCTCAGCTACTTCCAACTCGTCTTCAACGAAGGCCAGTTTCCGTGATACTTCATCAGATTTTCCATCAGCGTCTTCAGCAAGGAGACGCGCTTCTTTCAGCTGGTTCGTCAGCTGATCCATCCTCTCCTCATCCTGCTGTGCACGGTTTTCCAATACTTTGCACATACTGAAATTGCGTTAAGTGACGTGCATTAATATCCAGAAGACCCGAGTGATGATTCCTACGATTTTGCAAAAGTCCTACCGGCTGGATTCGTCAGCAGCTTGAGAAGCTTCAGCCAATTTAGCGGTAGCGGTGTTCAATCGTTCCTCGGATCTTTCCAAGTCCTCTTCGATCAGCTGTACCTTGCGATTCAATGCGGCGACCTCGGATTCAGCCTGAAACGAAAGATCTCTTTAAAATAGAAGGAAAAGAGAGAACAGATGATTTTCTGGTTACGAGAAGACGTAAAACTTCGTCACACTGAGTCATCGATCCCACAAGAAGGGACCACAAATATAAATAAAACTCCGTGGAAAACTGTTGGAACTGGTCCAAAATAAACTGGAACACCGACAGCTGGAGTCGGATGTCAACTGTTATGGGGGTCACCGGCGCTATCAATTAATTGTTAACCCTCGAATTAGAGAAGTAGGTCAATTGCCTAGATCTACGGAATGTAGGCAACGATGTTAATGACACACTCACGTTGGTCAGAGCTTTTTCTTTCTCTTCGAGGTCCTTGTTAGCTTGCTCCAATGCTTGTTTGTTGGCCACAAGGTCGCCCTCCACTTGAGTCAGCTTCTTCTGCAATTCGCTGACCTCCTCGAGGACCTTGTCCGCGCGCATATTCGCCTCCTTTGCCTGTCCCTCGCAGGCATCCGCCTTGTCCATCGCATTGTCCTTCTCAAGCTTCATCGCTTGCATCTTCTTCTTGATCGCGTCCATGGTGGCGAGCTTTTTCTTTTGCCGGCTTCCTTCAAGAAACTATCAAGTTCGCTGAAATTGTCCAATTTCATTTTATCTGATGATCCATCGAACACCTTGACGAATGATCTTTTTGATTAAATATCAATGCTGTTAGGCGAGGTATCCTTGGACTGACGATTAACGATTTGATTTTTAATTGCGGCGACAGGCGCTAATTCAAGTTAGTGATAATCGAAAGAAAATTCCAAATAATTCTGCATGCTTCGTCATCGTTTTAACCCTGAAAATGGAGGAGGGCATAAAGCAAGGGGGCGCGATGTGGCAGTTTGCATATTTTCACGAATCCCAGTGAGTTCAGCGAGTCATAATCCTCCGGATGATATCGTTCGGGTTCGGATACGCGAAGAGAGAGGTGCATCGTCGCGTCTACGGAAATAGCACCCATAGGCAGGCTCTATAAATATGCGCGAACGATGAAGAGAGAGGATGGTAGCCGATGTTGAGGCGAGGAGGCCGAAAAGCACCAACGTAACCCAGAAGAACGAGCTTTACTTGGCCGCCACCGACGACCGACATTCGATCTAACTGCCGTGTATTAATAGCATTTACGAAATTATCAGCCGCCACCTCGCGATCTCGCGGTTGAATCCTGTACGCTTGATTCTTCGGCTTAGATGATGCTTTTAACCCCTTCGCTTCATCGTTGTTGCAAATCAAACGCTACAGCTTTGCAAACGATTCGTTCATTAGAAAAGATTTCTATCTTCGCGATGGAGGGTTGATTTTATGGGGGATAGAGAAAATAAAAAAGAAAAACATTCCAATTTTCTTTTTGACGTTTATCACGAGGGTCATCAATGGCCAGCACCATAAATTTGAAGAAAATTTCAAGTAACATTGATATTATATTATTTTCGTAAGTTAGGAAGTGACAGTCAATATATTACTTTACCATCGAGTTTCTACCCTCTTCTGTCTTTCGAACAATAAAAAATGATTCAAGTAACAATTTTTTAGTGAAATGTTTCGATAAGTCATCGTTAAGTTTTAATCGTTCTCGAAGGGTCAGTAAGTTAATGATTCATTTCCAAATCATTGCAAACGATATAAGATTATAGAGGTGTGGAAACATCTCTATTCATAAAATCGATCGTTTGCTAGTTGAATGGCAACATTCGACCCTCTTTCTGGTTATAAATAGCACCTGGAAGGTTTTGGCATCTAGTTACCCACGAGTGCCAAAATGACATCAGAAAAGTAGATCCTCGATGGTCAATAACAGTTACGAATTCTTTGAATTACTTCATCGGAAAAATATGTGGCTAGGGTTTCAGTGTTGCGAATTAGTAGGATTAACAAATAAATACACGAAGGTGTCAATGCGAATGCTACTTACGACATTGCGTTACGTTAAGCCCGAAAGCAATTTCCTGAAGCGTTAACAATGCTGTTATTAATTGGCAGCGGTTAGAATATGTTGCAAATGCGTTCCACTCCACGATATTGTTGATTTTCCTGTAAAATCATTTCAATCACAATTGTATGCTTAATTTTACAAAGATTTACCGAAGAAGGAAAATAATATTTTTCTTGCTGTTAATGATTCTTAATACTGGCTAATTGATTCGTCACAAACGTATTTAGCAAATGTACGCAGTTCGATAGAATTGCTACGTGAAACGTTAGCGGTTGAAAATAGCACACGTAAACGAAACGATTCGATGATGGCAACCAGTTTATTTTTGTCATCTAAGTGGACTACAATATTTCATCTTTTCATAGCTATTTTATATTTCAACTTCTGCTGATATAAATAGCAAAATAGAGTGTATTTGTTAGTGTCTGAGCAAGCGTTACAGGGTTAATACTACTTACAAGCATCGCCAAAGCACAAGTCTGTCTAAAACCTTGAAAGCTGAAAGCTCCTCGAAGCCAAAAGCTGATTAAGTTAGTCCACTGATGGTCCCAAAGCATTTCATCGAAAGCGAAGAAATTTTTTTTCAAGCTGAAGCTTGTTAGTCTGACATTCTTCTATCCATTCGATCTTCATCTTTCTCTTCGACGATTTCGAAGCTCGTAGTGCGGAATCTTCAACACGCTCGAGCTTCCACGTCCACGAAAATCCTCCACGAGAAAACCAAGGCACACGTTCGTTCCACATCATCTCCTTTCACACTCGCGTTGCGTCGCGTTTCACACCGATTCGTTCGTTCAGAGAAACAGCCATTAGATGAGAAGAAAAGCGAACGTTTCTTTATTTTCTTTTTTTCTTTTTGTCGGGCAGAACTTTGTGCTGATTCACTTACCTAACTTGAGCGAGCAGAGTGGCGCGAGCGAGTCGAGTGTCCGAGGGTGCTACGAAAAGCTTCTTCTTCTTCAGCGTGATCCAACGCGTAGCTGAAGGTGGGGGAGCCCAAAAATGGACCGCCACGGAAACTTTAACGGGGGTGGGGCCCTGAACGTTTATTTTCTGCTCGCGCCTCCTTCGAAAATTTCTCACCTTCGGGCGAGACTATGCTAACTGGATCCAGTGATATTCGGATACCATTTGGAATCATCGACGAACGGTAAACATGATTCTGTGGAAACTTTGACGAGCATTGTATTACCGTATCGTAAATTTCATCGAATCTATGATTTTTTATGATCTATCCTTAATGGTTAATCATTTTTAAGGAGAATTACACTAATTTTCCTTGGTGATTAATTGCATGATTTATTGCTCAGTTGTATGCGCGAATACATAAGCGAACGTGCTGCAATATGAAAGAAGAAAAGGATACAAAACATGTCGTTATGTTGATCGTTAAGGGTTGATACTACTGATGATTATTCGTAAAGCCTGTTGTTGTTTCTTCAGTATCCTCAGTGTTTGTCATCAGATTATACGATGAATACGAAAGCTTGATGATCTGCAACGTCTATTAGTATAAATTCAATTCTTCAGTTTGTTTCCAAAGATAAGAAGCATTGCTACTAACAGACATGAAAGATTCCACGGATAAAATGAAAATGTGACCGCATGATATTTTTACGGGTTTCATGGATCTTGTCATAATCAACAAGAAATCTTTTAATATATCAGCTGGTAAAATCGTCCAGTCCATTTGGTAAATTGCGTCGCCTACTTCGTTGCTCTGCAAACGAAAATTTGGAGGATTTAAAAAGAACATGTTTCCAATGTTTCGGTGATTTATGCTGGTATGCATAACACGAAACACAGTGCCAACCTTCAACGTCATCTCGTTTCCGAACCAGCAGTATAAATACACCTCCATGAGCATGCTGCCCAGATACGAGTAGCTGAAGACCATGTCCATGCTGAATAAATCCAACGTGGACATCTGGTAAATACTTAGACACAGTACTGTTGAACTGACGAGAAATTGAATCAAGACTATGTACTGAAAAGTGATGTTGATGTTGTGTACGAAGCTGCAATTGAATCAGAAGATGAAATTAATTATCGTTGTACTCATTATTGATTTGGAATTTAAATTTTAAGTCATAGATTGAACTTAAGGACATAAATAAGGTGTTGGATTTCCTTAATTAAAAAAGTAATTACAGTATTTACTTGATTATTTCTTGATGATATTTGACCAAATTTCTGCGTACTTCGTGCCACTTTTTTCTAAAATTCCTCTTCGAGGTATTATTTTTCTCGACTTCCATCAATACGATTGGCACATTTTGAGCTCGATGACAAAATATCTCGAACTGAACTCTGGCTTGTATCATCAGTCCAGCGAACATGGTTTCGATGGCTACGCTTGTAGTAGCGCAAACGATTAAGCTAAACGTTTGATACAGCAGAGATATCATGTACACTTCCATCGAAGTTACACTGTAAGGTAGCCAGTCGAACGAAGGGAACGTTCTTGTCCTTATAAGTTTGTGATATTGCATCACGGATGTAAGGAACACGGCTGATTGGTTCAGGAGCTCACAGTATATTGTCAATTTTCTATGAATAATTATAATTTTATATTACGCAATCATTTTCAACGTTTTTAAATTTATTAAAGGTTCGTTTATACCTAAGTGTATTATCTTCGCGTATAAATGAACCTTTAAAAATATTTATTCGAACCAAGACCTCGCAAGTTTGTCGTATTTTCGTTGTATGGAAACCTCCTGATCGTCCTTTGGAGTGCAACTTTCCTTCTGCAAAATATTCAGCAAGGATATGATGTTCTCACGTTGGTAGAATATAATGGGCACTTGAATACAGACACGTAACACCGAGAGACCCACAGATGATTTCTGAGCCAGAGATTTTAGATCCTTGCTGATCGCTGAATCTACACACCCGTAGAATGCTAAGACATAGATGAACGCGATCATAAATATCGAGTAAACGTTGTATAGCCAATATTTGAAGGAATGAATTGGCCATTTTGTTGGTCTCCAGTAACCGCACAAGGTGAGTAGATAGAAAGGCAGAGGAGCCTTATGCATCCTTTTTTAACCCTCAGCTTTCTATACTGAAGATATAAATGAGAGAAGGAAAATTAATCACTGCAAATACAAAAACGTTGTTTAATTAAGTCACGTTAGGTGGTCCGAATGATCCGTCGCTTAATTATTCTGAAGATGTAGAGACACTTGAAATTTATCTAATACTTTATCGAATACTTAAAAAAGAATGAACGATGAACTTTTCGTCGACAGTGTTTCTACCCCTAACTCTACACCTCTTTATTTTATTATCTTGCACCCTCTTGTTTCCGGGATGTAGTAATCATAATTATTATTCTTTCTTCTCCTAACTTTCACTCGGGTGGAATTATACGTACAAATGAAGTTGTGTCACGTTTCGTAGCAGATGGTTATAGACTTTATTAGTCAGAATTATTATGCGGAAATGTATCATTTTTTTTTCTATGGTTGCAACAAAATTGTACGTTTAATTGCCATGAATAAATGATCAACTTTGTAATGAAAGTAACTAATGAGTTATAACTCTTTGTCCCCCTAACGCTAATGAATAAAGAATAAACCTTGCAATGCTAAGTTCTGTCATTCTACCGGTTACCGGTATCGAGGAAAGATAGATTAGTGACAGTCGTATCTTCATCAACGCAGTGCTAGTCTTCTGGAATAAAATACTTGTTTAATTTGTAAGTAAGATACATTATTCTTTGAGGAAAATTAAACCACGTTTTTTGTATTATTAGGGGATTGCAATCAGAGAAAAATTAATTAGTACTAATAAGAGTACTTTCATATTTTTCATGTGATTCTCTAATTGCAACATTATATTCGTGTAAATTGTGGTTCACCGTTAGGAAAATACACAACGTCTTGAAATACATAAGCTTCGTTTATTCTGAATGTTAGATACAAATTGGAAAAGGTCCAAAAATTTAAAAGTGTTTCATTTTGACAATTTAATTTTGAATACAATGTAAAAGAAGCTTGCATTCTGTTTTTCCAAAATACAAAGTCAACAATTATAAGTTTCATCGTAATATTACGATGTATTCATTGAAATCATTCACAAACCATTCTCTTTTTTATTTTTTAATTATCGGCTACTTTGCATCAGGTTGAACGCGGAGTAAGAGGTTTTCAATAGCTGCAAACGAAAGAGAATTAAATAAATTGAAACATATAGTTGAAATTGTAAATATTTGCTACTGACCGACATAAAAGATTTCAGATTCAGAGATACCACGTGCATGCTGGTAAATTCGACGGGTACTCTTGAACGCCTGATGACCATCAGTAAAACCTTCTTAGAGCTATCGTTCCACGACGGCCAATCGCTGCCAAATATTATATCAGGAAAGTCGGTACTCTGCGAAAACATAATTCCATAGTGCAGCATAAGCGAATATCTATTTCTTCGATAACAAACCTTTTCTTTGACTACATTCCCGTAGAAACAATAATAAAATATCTGCGAGAACACGCATATCGAGTAGAGCACTGATTCCATGCACATTGATAATTTCTCTGAATTCATCATTTGGTAGAGATTTAGACACAGCACTGACATGCTAGTGAAAAATTGACACGATACAACTCCTTTAAACTCATTGTTAACCCTTCTCGCAAACCTGAAATGACTCATGAATAAATTCAATTTTATTTGAAAAAGGTATTTTAAAAAATATACAGACATGTATATCTGATGATGATGTGAAGCACACTGGTTCACCATATAATTTTCTTGCCCATCGAGAGTCTTAAAACGATGCTCAAGAATTTCGATCTGGCAACAAATGTGAAGTAACAAAGCTGCGTAAAGGGTTTCACAAGCAATAGATACGGAAACCGCAAATATCGCTGATATGAATTCGTAAGCGTTAGTAAGGAGATAGGAACTTGCAGACGAATAGTCGTAAGGTGTCCAGATTCGACTGGCTAATTTTCTTCCCTTGAAATCAATAGCAATCGTTACAAGAAACATCCCGCACGCGAAAAAGCCGAGTATCATTGTATATGCCTTGGTAGTCCATCTAAAAATTGATGGTGTTTTAAGAACAATACATGTATTTTTTTTAAAAGTACTTACTCGATTATTTTATCGAATTCCGATCGAATTTTCATTTCTTGCTTGGTCACAGGCGAAAAAAGGTCTTTATCCAGCTGTTCGATTAAAAGTAAGATATTTACACGTCGCGTTGATATCATGATGAATTTCAATACGATCATGAACACTGTCGAAGAGATAGCGAAATTTTCAGTAAATTCGTTCTGATTCTTCACGTTTAAGATAATGTCTAATATTTGAGCGATGAAAAAGACGTATAAAAAGACCATCCCGATATTTGCGTAAATGTTATACAAAATCCTTTGTAAAGGGGTGTAGGTGTGCAAGTTTAAACAATTACCACCGATGGTGAACATGGTTTGCGTCCATCGTAACGTTTCCATTCGGTACAAATTATGCAGTGATTGAGGGAAATTAAATAAAGGAAGTGACTTAAATGAATGTCAATTGCAACAAGTTAAGAATCGATAAGATTTTGTCTTTCAGTGTTATGTAAAATTTGATACAAAAGTGTAGATATATTCTCACGATACGACACACTTCACTGACAATCGCGAACTACCGGTGTTCCCGATGCTTCCTGTTTTAATTTTTTTCTGATACTAACCCTTCCGGTACAATATCCCCATCGCAATTATCGATGGAAAGTTGCAAGTGACATTACATTTTTCATGAATGACGTTTCAACCCTTTCTGCTTACAAATATTCCCCTGTCCTCTGCAGCGACTTATACCAACCATGATACTTCAAGCACGAATATCACGTCGATAATAAGCTCTTTTGCAATATTAATGATTCGAGAGGGAAAAAATATTGTGCATAATCGTTTTCAAGAGACAAGAGACACGACGGTCGTCTTCTCTCGACACATTGTGTATTTCGAGAAAACATTGTAAATTAGATTCATAAGAAATGCAAGAAACAGGAAAAGGTTGCAGACTGGAACTGATTTCTAAAAACAGTTTTATGAAGAGTTTGTACTGACGTACATAGGGGTTGTGCTTTTTATTATTTTTTGCCCTCCTCGCTGAAATTGTTTCTTTAAAAAAACGGAGGACACACGTTAGTCTACCTTCCAGTTGAAATTAGGATTTAATATTGAGTAAGAAATTTTCAGTAGCTGTAAATACAAAGATTTAACAGTCCGCGTATTTTGTGGAATCTGTAACATTTGGAATTTTATACTTCTCGTTACATCTAATAGGAGATTATTAACTGAATTATGTTTAAAGTAGCTTTCTGGTGAATTTATTATTCTGTGGAACTGATATACCTTCGTACATTGTGCAAATTTTTCTGAATCGTTTCTCTTCTATTTCATTTATTCGTTCCGTTAATTAGTCTGTTGAAGCACGGTGTAGGCCGAGTAGGATGTTTTAAGTAACTGTGATAAATAAATCATTTATAATGATTTCTTGAAAAAAGCAATTCTTCATTTATTTTCTACTGACCGTTATGAAGGATTCAAGGTTCATGGAGACGATGTGAATGCTGGTGAATTGAATGGGCTCCAAAGCTCGTATCATAATCATCAGAAACATCTTTCTCGTGTTGTTATCCAATGACATTAGTGTGCTTTCAAATGCTGCGTCCGCGATCATCAGACTCTACGAAATGGACACTTTCGTACAAAATTCTGTTATTCAGTCTGCGACATTCGCATTATTACTATCTCTTAATCGTATCATGTAAATGAACCTTTAGTTTCACTTCATTGCCGTACCAACAGTAATAAAATATCTGGGTGAGCAGACAGAAGGTGTACGCCGCGGTTTCGACGAATTTCGAGCCGAATTCTAATTGCGACAATCGGTAATGATTGAAGCAAAGAGATATTGTATTCACCATGAATTGGATAGAAAGGATGGCCGTGAACTCTTTGTTTATTGCCGTGGCAAATCTGCAAAAATATCAAAAAAGAAATCATTTAATTTGAGGTTCAAATTTTCGAAAGTGGAAAATAATTTACATCTTAGAAAATAAAGAAGACCAACTCGTATATACTCTGATGATGGCGAGCGCACAATTTCACTGAATAATATGGATATTTTCCGACATTTTTCAGACGGTATTCAAGCACCTCGATCTGGCAATAAATGTTAACCAGCAGCCCGCTAAACATAGAATCACAAGCGACGATCAAGTTCGTTGCGAATATCGTGGCAACGACTTGATGAACGTAAGTAATAGCGAATATCCATGGGGATGAATAATCGTATGGGATCCATGCACGATACTTCAGCCTCCCGTGTGGAAAATCGGTAAGAAAGGAAACAATCCACATTCCAAGTGTAAAGATCTCTATTATCAATGTGTAGATTATTGAGTTCCATCTGAAAGTGCACTGTTATCAATTTTTTTTTCATAAAGTTTAATTGCAATCATTTCGTGCTTCAACTCACTCGACTTGTTCCATGAATTTCGCTTGTATTTCCTCCTCCTCCGCGTTCATCGCCGCGAATGGCTCTTTCTTAACAGTTTCGATCAAATCCACAATATTTTCACAACGACGCAGCAGTGCGACTGTTTTACAAGAATCGCAAAAGAACACCAACGTTATGTATAAGTTTTCGCTGAACTCGTCTTGACTTTCGACGCCGAACATAAGATCTAACAGTTGAGTAGTCTCTAGAATGTACAAACATATCGTCAAGAAGATCCCGTAGAAATTGTAAAGGATTTTCTGCCACAATGTTGGCCAATAGGATATTGGAAAATATCCGAGTACGGCGAGTATTTTGAAGGTCCATTTCAACGTGGGCATCCCTGATGGCCCACGAGTTTCACTTTTCTCCCCCATTAGGAATCGGTAAAATATTTTTGATCAAATTACTCAAAAATTAGATACATTTGATGTAGAATAGGTCGTGAAAGAAATCTCGAATAGAATATCTACTTCGTTTCACTATCTACTTGTCACTGTCTACTTTGTTTCACTTTGACACAGAAAATTGGAGAACTTTATTCTACGGTGGTGTAACTATCACTAAGTGCAGAAAATTGTGGACTTTCGACGTGGTCTCTGAAATAAGTCAGTTCCCCTTGCAAAATATCCCTTTATCTATGTCCTATATTATTGACTGGGTAACGATGCAATTACGCGCGCAGTGGTAACATTCTGACCCTTACGTACTTCTCGACGATAGAATCTTAATTATAATTAGCCTAAAATATATATCGTCGAGCAAGGATAAGGTATAGAGTGAAACATTAGATATTTATAGAAACTACTTTCAATACGGTAGGCAATATTTTTCGTGCAATTTTGTTTACATGAAATATGGAAGGTATTGTTAGTGAAGTACAGGATATTCTGCAAGTTAGTATCAATTTTCTCTGTTGAATTTATTGCTATACACTGTACATATTCACAGAAACCTCCGAGCCTCTACGGAAGTAGGTTTCTTCAGGGTCGGAAAAATATTCTTTCTTCTACGATAAAGTGATTTATAGGGATTCTGTTATCCTTTTCCTCTGTGAAGCACGTTGTACGCTGAGTAAGAGGTTTTTATCAGCTGTGACAGACAACATTTAATAACTTGATGTGAAATTATTAACTTTACATCGTACGTAGATTTACTATGATTCAAATCGAAGAATGATTAGTCTCCAGGTGAAATCGTTCGTCAAAGTGCACGAGTACTTGATGTATACTTACGTTTATGAATGATTCCAAATTCATAGTCACAATATGACCACTAGTGAATTCAATGCACATCGTGGCACGTCTCATAATCACCGAGAGTATTCTCTTAGTATCTTTATTCAATTCCGTCCAGTCACTTCCGAATATCATCTCAGAAACTTCGACACTCTGATAAAGTTCTCTGTTTAATGTTAAAGATCAACTTAGAAACCTTATTCTGCAACCAACCTTCAATTTCAACTCGTTTCCATGCCAGCAATAAAAGAATATCTGCACCAGTAGAGCAACCATGTATATTACATCCATTATCATTTTCATGTTCGTATTTTTCATTGTTATCAGTACGTAAAGATCGAAGCACACCGCCAGTGTACTTATACCGAATTGAACGAAAATAACCATTTTGAATTCTTCATTTATCATTCTGGTGAATCTGTAACAGAACATACTCTGATTTTTTACCTCTGAATCGTTCGATTTTTGTTCGAACTCACTCATACACGTGATTATGATAACGAGCAGACTTTTTCGCAGACAGATTGTCGTCTTGCTTGATTGCTTTCAGACGGGAACCAAGTATTTCGAGCTGACCGCAGGAGTGAATCAATAGGCCCCAGATCAAACAATCACAGCTGATATGCATTATTGATGCGGCGACGAAAGATGCAACTTGTTGCAGGAAAATGAAAATGTGCAGAGCCGGAGGAAGATAATTGTAAGGTAACCACATTCTATAGGGCAACTTTTCACCATCTTTTAAAAGTCCACCGCCCGAATTGAATATCACTGTCAATTCGACCATAATTATGTAAAGGATTGCTTGTTGTCTGTAATAATTTGGCAAAAATAATGAAATAATAATAAGAAAAATTATTAGGGGTAGACTGGAGATCAGGAGTTGGGAAAAATTCCCAGGGTGGCGGTAGGCACTTGGGGCTTAATTAATTAAAATTAGGGTTCGTCATGTCCTTAATTTCCCAATAAAAGTTTGGGAAAGCTTTTTGATATTATCATTCAAATTGAAGTTTAAATACCATTAAGGGTAAGAAAATTTAAATTCATTTATTAACTTACTGAGCTGTCTTATCGCATGACTTTCGAATCTGAATCTCTTCTTCGTTTTCCGGCTGAAAAGGCTTCTTCTCTAAGATATTAGTCAAAATAGCAATATTTTTATGGTGCGTTAGCATACTGTACATCTTATAACATGCGCCCAACATCGACAACAGTACATGGATATTATCACTCAATTCGTCCTGGTTTTCCACGTTTAATATCAAGTCCAGAAATTCGAGGAAAGTCGCAGAGTACAGAAGTAGAAACAAAAACATAGTATAAATAACATACAGGAATTTTTTGAAAGGCGAAGTCCAGGAAGGAGGTCGCCAGCAACCCGACAGTATTAAAAGCTGAAGTATCGACTGCAATACTTCCATCACACTAGATTCTATTCTCAATGGGAAAAGAAACGATCAGTTCTTCAGGTCCTTTGATATTTCTCTTTCCATCTACCCTTAATAGATAAATAGTTTTATCATGGTTGTACTTCAAGTAACTACACAGTTCAAAATATACATTCTTCTCTTATCTTTGTTCGGCAGTCATGCAAACATAGATCGAGAATACGACCATAAAATGATTTCTGACAATGAGACAAAAAGTATCTACCCCTGAAGGGACACAGAATTTCCCCTTTCTTTGTTCTGTCTATCTTGTAATCATGACTTAACATATGGTATTGATTTCTTTTTCACGACATTTGTCATTCATTATTTTATCTGTCTCTAATATTGCCCCTCAAATGTAAATAATGTCCTTTTGTCAGAGTTTTGTCTCGCACAACCTCAGTACGTAAATTATGGAACGTGAATAATAAAACAGATTCGAACGGTATGTTCTTTGGACGATTCAGTTGAGAGGCACAGCTTGGTGAAGAAACATCGTATATGGAATTCATGTTGCGCTCACTTGAAACAAATTCCCAGTTATAAGGAGGAATCTTTCTTTATAGTGGAGAAAATTAGGTATTTAAAAAATATTTGATTTTATGTTAATGTTTGTGCTATTTGAAGGAATGTGGTTGTGTTCTTAAACTCGAAAGGTACATTCTTGGTGTAATGCTTAAATAGAACTTTTAATAAAATGTAACATTACAAACATTATAGCAGGTTCTAAATAAGTCAACTGATTTCCAATAAGTAGTTATTCGTTTTTTCGAGTCGACAAATATTTTTGTTTGTACGATTAAGTGATATGTACTGATTCTACTAACCCTGGCCACTTTGAAGCACATTATACGCCGAATAGGAAGTTTTAAGCAACTGCGACAGACGAAATTCAATATTTTCTTAACACTTGTATTTATGAAAATCAGGAACTTAGTGTGTACTTACGCTTACAAATGACTCCAAATTCATAGTCACAACATGACCACTAGTGAATTCAATGGACTTGGTAGCACGCCTCATAATCACCGACAGAATCCTTTTAGTATCCTTGTTCAGTTGCGTCCAGTCACTTCCGAATATCACATTAGGAATTTCGAGGCTCTAATTGAGAAAAACGAAACGTAGAGAATTAATTTAGTAATCATACTCATCGCTATAACCAACCTTCAGTTTCACTTCGTTCCCATACCAACAAAAGAAGAATATCTGCACCAGCATAGAACACGCGTACACTATTATTTTAACAAATGTCGCATTTACCTCTTTCGTTATTACCAGTATGTAAAGGGTGAAGCACACCACCAACGTACTTACGGTGAACTGAACAAAAATAATCATCTTAAATTCTTCATTTATCATCCTGGCGAATCTGGAACATTTCGAAGTAATAGTTACATGTTCAACTTAGAATTATTTTTATTTGAACTAACCGATACACGCGATTATGGAAACGAACAGCCGCTTTCGCAGAATGATTATCCCCGGGTTTGATCGCTCTCAGACGACACCCGAGTATCTCCAGCTGAGAATAAGTGTGAATTAAAAAACCCCAGATCAAAGTGTCACAGGCAATGTGTACCAAAGATCCAGTGATTAAAACTGCAACTTGCAGAATGTAAAGAATGATGTGCAGATAGAGTGGAAGGTAATCGCAAGGTAGCCACATTCTGAAGGGCAGCTTTATGTCATCAGTTTTCAAAATGCCACTGCAGGAATATGCCACCACTGATGATTGGGTTACAATCAGAAAAAGAAACGCGTGTTGACTGTAATAATTTGTAAAGAAATATTCGGATATTAAGCTACTTGGATTTCAACCCTTTCGTTAAATTCATCTATTAACTTACTGAGCTCTTTTGTCCCATCTCTTCCGGATCTCCATCTCTTCCTCGTTTTCCGGTTTAAAAGGCTCCTCCTCTAGGATATTAGACAAAGCAACAATGTTCTTATGACTCGATAACATACCGTACATTTTTTGACACCCGATCCCCGTCGTCAGTAATAGATAAATGTTATCACTTAATTCATCCTGATTTTCCACGACTAATATCAAGTCCAGAAATTGAACAAGCGTTGCAATGTTTAAAAGTACACATATAAATACAGTGTAGGTAGTGTACAGGAACTTTTCCAAAGGCGATGTCCGAAAAGAAAGCGGCCAACAGCCGCACACTACTAGAAGATGGAATATCCTGTGTAACACCTTCATCACCTTCGATTCGTTTTTCAACGAAGAAAGAAATGATTAGTTTCTTCCTATCCTTTGATATTTCCCTTTTCATCTGCTCTCGATAGATTATATACACTATAATCACATCTCAAAACATATTTTTCCATTGACTTCGTTTGGCAAAAGAGAATTCTTTATTTGCATCTTTTGCTCAACAATTATGCAAATTGTGAACGAATACATACATCGACAATGCATGACCATAGAATGATTTCTGTGACAAAAAATACCCACCCTTAAGGAGACATTTTCCTCTTCTTTTGTACTGGGTATCTTGTAATCATGATATAATGAACAGTATACTTCCATTTTTATGATGTTTGTGGCCATTCATTATTTTACCTGTCTTTAACATTGTCCCTGAAATACATGTTCTTCTGGCAGAGGTCTCGCTTGCGCCACATTAGGGGGAAGTCTATGGAACATGAATAATAAAATAGATATAAAGTGTACACGTACTCTTTGGACGATTCAGTCGGAAGGACGATGGTTGGTTAGGTAACATCGCATATGGGATCCTCCATCACTTTAAACAAATTTTTCATTCAAGGTGGATCTTCTTTCTATGGTGGAAATATTCCATCGAGTTGGTCTGAATTTTTATCTTTTCTATGTTCATCTTTTTCTAATTGTATTAATTAAATTCGTAATATCTCCACTATGAATCAAGAACCATCTCTGCTTCTTCACTCTGAAAATAAGTCTAAAAGTTGTACTGTTAATAAGGAATAATCTTTGCATTAAAATTGTGTATTTTTTAATTGCAGATTCCTGACAGTTTGCAAGAATTAGAATATTGCAGTTGACTCCTTCATCAGGAAACAATGGTAAATAGTTTGAAACATGTTTCAAATAATTATGAAGTGTCGATGGGTGAGGTAAAGATGGAAGAAGTGGTGCATATAAGACAGGTTACTTTTTGTAAGTATGTATCAGCTGTTCTGAACAATTTATTACTACCCGCTCTTACATGGTTTCGTTGTGTGTTTTATGTGTTTTTAACGAGTAGTTTTCTTCGATTCGGGGAATATCCATGCTTCTACGATAAAGTGACTCGTGTCGGTCCTAGGTATTATCCTTGGCCACTTTGAAGCATATTATACGCCGAGTAAGAAGTTTTAAGTAACTGTGACAGAGAAAATTTAATAATTTGTTAATACATTGACGTTTGAAAGTTTCATCGAATCTATTCTAATTACGTTGGAACCTTTTTCCAAAGTGTTAACAAATGTATGCGTATTAACATGCAGTTACTTACGTTTACGAATGATTCCAAATTCAGAGTCACAACATGAAAACTAGTGAATTCAATGGAGTATCTGGCACGTCTCATAATAATCAAGAGGATTCTTTTAGTGTCATTGTTCATTTGTGTCCAGTCAATTTCGAATATCACATCAGAAATTCCAATGCTCTAATTAAACAAGAAGAAACGTAAAAAATCAACTTAGTAATCATAGGTATTCATCGCTTTGACCAACCTTTAATTTCACTTCATTTCCGTACCAACAGAAGAAGAATATTTGCACGAGCATAGAACACGCGTACATTATCATTTTCGCAAATTTTACATTCACATCATTTGTCATCAACAGCACGTAAAGGGTGAAACACACCACTAACGTGCTTACGGTAAACTGAACAAAAATAATCATCTTAAATTCTTTATTTATCATTCTGGCGAATCTGTAATATTTCGAAGTAATAGTTACATGTTCGATTCTGAATTATTTTTATTCGAACTAACCGATAAACACGATTATGGTAACGAGCAGACGCTTTTGCGGACTGATTATTTCCTTGCTTGATAGCTTTCAGACGAGCTTCAAGTATCTCAAGCTGGGAACAAGTGTGAATGAACAGACCCCATATTAAAGCGTCACAGGCATTATGCATTACTGCTCCAGCGACTAAAGTTACAACTTGTAGAAAATAAATGATGATGTGCAGGTAAAGTGGAAGGTAATCGTAAGGTAGCCACATTCTGTAGGGCAACTTCATGGCATCAGTTTTCAAAACCCCTGCGCTTGAGAAACATATCACTGTCGTTTGAGTTACAGCTAAATAAAGAAACGCTTGCCAGCTGTAACAATTTTTCAAAAGAAATTGCTGCAAACCATTTGAATTTTATTCCTTTTGTTCTGACATTCATGTCGGATCAAAAGGATTGAAAACGAATTAGTTAACTTACCGGGCTCTCTTATCAAATTCCTTTCGAATCTCCATTTCTTTTTCATTTTCCGGTTGAAAAGGCTCCTTATTCAGGATATCAATTAAAACAGCGATGTTCTTATGTTTCGCTAACATGCTGTACATTTTGTGACATGAAACTATCATCGTCAACGTTAGATAAACGTTATCGCTGAATTCGTCTTGGTTTTCCACGACCAGTATCAAGTCCAGGCATTGTAAAAATGTTATAACGTTTAACAATGTAAATAGAATCACAGTATAGACTGTGTAGAAGAATTTTTTGTAGGGTGGTGCCGAAGAGGGTGGTTGCCAACAACCGCACACTGCTAGTAGCTGAAATATCGTCTGCAACAATTGCATCGCACTCGATTCAATTTCCAATGAAAAAAGAATTATCAATTATTTTGCTCCTTCGATATTTTTCTTCTCATGTGTTCTCACGATCGTTGCTCTTCTTCAGATACACGATAATCATAGTTTAGAAACTTTTTGCCACACTTTAGTTTTATTTTTGAAACTCAGTCACTCCTTTCTTTGACAGTAATGCAAATACTGTTGGTTGAAAATGTGAATTGAACAACGTACAACCATAGAGTGTCCATATTATTTGTATCCCTACAATAAGCAAGAGTTTATCAATTATAAAAGGGTTATTTACCCGCATAGCTTCCTCTTCCTATGTTCATCCTACGTCATTATAATGCTAAGAGACATATGACATGATATTTTTCTTTAATGATACCTGTTACATTTGTCTCTAACATAATTATTTAAAGATACTTTGTACTGATGAACGTTTAGCTAGTGTTTCTTGCAGAAGGGTCAGCGGTTCATTCTTCGAGCCGTCAATAATGAAACAGTTAGCAGTGTATGTTTCTTCGGCGAGTCAGTCGAAACAGGCAATTTGACCAGGAAGCATCGTGTATCGAGAAAATGGAACGAAAGTATTTTTTATAATTTTCTAATTAAAACACTAAATGACATAGGGATCGCTGCTGATATTATACATTTAGTAATAAAACAATTATTGCGTAAAGGTTTTATTTAAAAGAAATGGTAGAAATCGTATGTGAAATGGTGGATATTGTTCAGAATTCATTGTTACTCAAAATTTTTTCAATGTACATACGTCCAGTGCACTATACGTGAATTTCTCCTTAAATTCTCATTATTTTTTCTTCGATGTGATCCATGAACGTTGCTATTCCGTGCCACTTAACACGTTATACGCCGAGTAAGAAGTTTTCAGCAACTGTATTAAACAAAATTCGATTGTTTATTCACGTATAGAATATCGTACGAACGTGTACCGTGTGTACCTTCACGAAGGATTCAAGATTCATAGACACAACGTGAGCACTAGTGAATTCAATGGAAACATCGCTACGTCTCATAATCATCAAGAGAATTCTTTTAATATCTTTGTTGAAAAACATCCAGTCGGTTCTGAATGCCATCTGTGATACCTCGAGGCTCTAAGAAAGGAAGCTTTCTTTTATTCATAAAACAAACTTAAAATTCGTGTTATACAGACCTTTATTTTAACTTCGTTCCCATACCAACAATAAAAGAATATTTGTGTTAGCATAGTGCAAGTGTATATTACAGCTATCAGAAATTTCGCGGTTATATTTCTTGCTGTTACTAATAGATAAAGGTTGAAGCAGACGATCGTTGTAGTCACGCCAAACTGGACGAAAATGACCCATTTAAATTCTTCGTTTAGCATTTTGGCAAATCTGCAATGTTTTAAGTGAAAGATTATACTTTTGGGGGCAAGATAATTACATCAAGGTTAAAATCTATGATACAGACTTTTTAGTGCCAATTGGTACCGCTTTGATTATTAACCCTTTGGCTACCGTCTTTAAACAAAATAATGTTGTTCCTACAATTATATTCCCATAATAGCGAAAGAGTTAATAATTATCCAAATTAACATAATTGACATGAAAACCAACCGATAAACGCGATCATGATAACGCGCAGATGACTTCGCAGACTGAATCTCGTCCGGTTTGATCGCATTCAGACGGTATCCAAGAATCTCAATTTGACTGCAAGTGTGAATCAGCATGCCCCAGATCAAATTATCACAGGCGATGTGTACCAAAGCTCCGGTGATCAAAGATAGAGCTTGCTGAATGTTAGTAAAAATGAGCATCGTTAACGAGAGGTGTTTGTAAGGTAACCACATTCGGTATGGCATTTTTTGCCCTTCAGGCTTTAAAGCACCGCTACACGAATGGAATATCACTGCCAGCTCGATTACAGCCGTGTAAATATATGCTTGTCTTCTGTAATTATATGTAAAAATGATAATGCGAGTTATTAGTTGACAACTGGAAATTGTTCATTTTTAAATCGTTAACTTACTGAGCCCTTTTGTTGAATCTCCTTCGAATCTCAATTTCTTCCACATTTTCCGGTTGAAAAGGTTCATTTTCCAAAATACCGTTCAATACAGCGATGTTCTTACGGCTCATTAGCATGCTATACATTTTATGACAAGCTACCAATATCGTCAGCATCATGTAGATACCTTCGCTTAATTCATCTTGATTTTCGACGTTTAACAGTAGGTCCATGATTTGAAGGATCGTGGATATGTTCAGTAGTGTGAACACAAACACTGTGTAGGTATTGTAAAGGAGTTTTTTGATAGGTGATGTCCAAGAGGGAGGTCGCCAACAACCACTCATCATAAGAAGTTGAAATGTCCACCTCAACATTTGCATCCTTATCAATTTGGCTTTCAGTAGAAAAAGATTTGCACTTTCTATCGTTCTCAGTAAATAAATTGTTTTTGTTGAGTTTCTTCAAATGCATGTTAATCGCGACTTTTCCATTGCTTTTGTTTTCGAACATCAGCCGACTGTCTCAAGAAAGAAGTCCTCGCATTCTGTTTCACTCGAAATCAAAAGGTATATAACCGTAGAATGTCTATATTATTTGTACCCCTTGAAATAAGTAAGCGTCTCCCCCCGAGGGGATTTTAATACACTGAGTTTTTCCTTCCGGTATTCGGGGTATGTTATTACAGTAATTGCGGAGTGATCACGACGACAGAACATGTATCTAATATTATTCATTATTCGTTGTATCTGTAATATTGTTGCTGAAAACAATATTGCGCTGGCAGTAGTTTTGCTTAGGGAAACGTCAGAGGTGAATTCTTCGGAACGTGAATAATAAATTAGATCGGAGTTGGTGTATTTGCAAGGAATCAGTCGAAGGAGACAACTCGGTTGGAAAACATCGTGTACGGAGTTGTGTTATGGTTTCTTAAGCAATTAGTGTAGATTCTGGTGGTACACCGAATAAGACATATTCAGCATATGTACATTATCATAATTATTTCTAATGACAGTATCACATCTAATGACAGGAATAATCTTTGCATTATAATTGTGTATGTTTTCATTGCAGATTCCTGATAGTTTGCAAGGATTAGAATATTGCAGTTAACTCCTTCATCAGGAAACAATGGTAAATAGTTTGAAGCATGTTTCAAATAATTGTGACGTAAGTATATAACAGCTGTTCTGAACAATTTATTATTACCCGCTCTTACATGGTTTCGTTGTGTGTTTTATGTGTTTTTAACGAGTAGTTTACTTCGATTCGGGGAATGTCCATGCTTCTACGATAAAGTGACTCGTGTCGGTCCTAGGTATTATCCTTGGCCACTTTGAAGCACATTATACGCCGAGTAAGAAGTTTTAAGTAACTGTGACAGAGAAAATTTAATAATTCGTTAATACATTGACCTTTGAAAGTTTCATTGAATCTATTTTAATTACGTTAAAACCTTTTTCCAAAGTGTTAACAAATGTATGCGTGTTAACATGCATTTACTCACATTTACGAATGATTCCAAATTCAGAGTCACAACATGAAGACTAGTGAATTCAATGGAGTATGTGGTACGTCCCATAATCATCAAGAGGATTCTTTTAGTGTCATTGTTCATTTGTGTCCAGTCAATTTCGAATATCACATCAGAAATCCCAGTGCTCTAATTAAACAAGAAGAAATGTAAAAAATCAACTTAGTAATCATAGGTATTCATCGCTTTTACCAACCTTTAATTTCACTTCATTTCCGTACCAACAGAAGTAGAATATTTGCACCAGTATACCACACAAGTACACTATTATTTTAACAAATGTCGCATTTACCTCTTTCATTATTACCAGTATGTAAAGGGTGAAGCACACCACCAACATGCTTACGATGAACTGAACAAAAATAATCATCTTAAATTCTTCATTTATCATTCTGGCCAATCTGCAATATTTCGATGTAATAGTTACATGTTCGATTCTGAATTATTTTTATTCGAACTAACCGATAGACTTGATTATGGTAACGAGCAGACGCTTTTGCGGACTGATTATTTCCTTGCTTGATAGCTTTCAGACGAGCTCCAAGTATCTCAAGCTGAGAACAAGTGTGAATGAACAGACCCCATATTAAAGCGTCACAGGCATTATGCACTACTGCTGCAGCTACTAAATTTACAACTTGTAAAAAATAAATGATGATGTGCAGATAAAGTGGAAGGTAATCGTAAGGTAGCCACATTCTGTAGGGCAACTTAATGGCATCAGTTCTCAAAACCCCTGTGCTTGTGTAACATATCACTGTCGTTTGAGTTACAGCTAAATAAAATAATGCTTGCCAGCTGTAACAATTTTTCAAAAGAAATTGCTGCAAACCATTTGAATTTTATTCCTTTTGTTCTGACATTCATGTCGGATCAAAAGGATTGAAAACGAATTAGTTAACTTACCGGGCTCTCTTATTAAATTCCTTTCGAATCTCCATTTCTTTCTCATTTTCCGGTTGAAAAGGCTCCTTCTTCAGGATATCAATTAAAAAAGCGATGTTCTTATGTTTCGCTAACATGCTGTACATTTTGTGACATGAAACCATCAACGTCAACGTTAGATAAATGTTATCGCTGAATTCGTCTTGGTTTTCTACGACCAGTATCAAGTCCAGGCATTGTAAAAATGTTATAACGTTTAACAATGTAAATAGAATCACAGTATAGACTGTGTAGAAGAATTTTTTGTAGGGTGGTGCCGAAGAGGGTGGTTGCCAACAACCGCACACTGCTAGTAGCTGAAATATCGTCTGCAACAATTGCATCGCACTCGATTCAATTTCCAATGAAAAAAGAATTATCAATTATTTTGCTCCTTCGATATTTTTCTTCTCATGTGTTCTCACGATCGTTGCTTTTCTTCAGATACACGATAATCATAGTTTAAAAACTTTTTGCCACACTAGTTTTATTTTTGAAACTCAGTCACTCCTTTCTTTGACAGTAATGCAAATACTGTTGGTTGAAAATGTGAATTGAACAACGTACGACCATAGAGTGTCCATATTATTTGTATCCCTACAATAAGCAAGAGTTTATCAATTATAAAAGGGTTATTTACCCGCATAGCTTCCTCTTCCTATGTTCATCCTACGTCATTATAATGCTAGGAGACATATGACATGATATTTTTCTTTAATGATACCTGTTATATTTGTCTCTAACATAATTACTTAAAGATACTTTGTACTGATGAACGTTTAGCTAGTGCTTCTTGCAGAAGGGTCAGCGGTTCATTCTTCGAGCCGTCAATAATGAAACAGTTAGCAGTGTATGTTTCTTCGGCGAGTCAGTCGAAACAGGCAACTTGACCAGGAAGCATCGTGTATCGGGTCTGTCAATTCTTCTATTAGTTTTCTATCAACTTAATCCTTCTTTCGTGATAAAGCGAGAAAATAGAACGAAAGTATTTTTTATAATTTTCTAATTAAAACACTAAATGACATAGGGTTCACTGCTGATATTATACATTTAGTAATAAAACAATTATTGCGTAAAGGTTTTATTTAAAAGAAATGGTAGAAATCGTATGTGAAATGGTGGATATTCTTCAGAATTCATTGTTACTCGAAATTTTTTCAATGTACATATGTCCAGTGCTCTATACGTGAATTTCTCCTTAAATGCTCATTATTTTTTCTACATCGCTTACGGAGTCGTGTTATGGTTTCTTAAGCAATTAGTGTAGATTCTGGTGGTACACCGAATATGACATTTTCAGCATATGTACATTACCATAATTATTTCTAATGACAGTATCACATCTAATGACAGGAATAATCTTTGCATTATAATTGTGTATTTTTTCATTGCAGATTCCTGATAGTTTGCAGGGATTAGAATATTGCAGTTAACTCCTTCATCAGAAAACAATGGTAAATAGTTTGAAGCATGTTTCAAATAATTATGAAGTAAGTATATAATAGCTGTTCTGAACAATTTATTATTACCCGCTCCTACATGGTTTCGTTGTGTGTTTTATGTGTTTTCAACGAGTAGTTTACTTCGATTCGGGGAATGTCCATGCTTCTACGATAAAGTGACTCGTGTCGGTCCTAGGTATTATCCTTGGCCACTTTGAAGCACATTAAACGCCGAGTAAGAAGTTTTAAGTAACTGTGACAGAGAAAATTTGATAATTCGTTAATACATTGACGTTTGAAAGTTTCATCGAATCTATTCTAATTACGTTGAAACCTTTTTCCAAAGTGTTAACAAATGTGTGCGTGTTAACATGCATTTACTCACGTTTACGAATGATTCCAAATTCAGAGTCACAACATGAAGACTAGTGAATTCAATGGAGTATGTGGCACGTCTCATAATCATCAAGAGGATTCTTTTAGTGTCATTGTTCATTTGTGTCCAGTCAATTTCGAATATCACATCAGAAATTCCAATGCTCTAATTAAACAAGAAGAAACGTAAAAAATCAACTTAGTAATCATAGGTATTCATCGCTTTTACCAACCTTTAATTTCACTTCATTTCCGTACCAACAGAAGAAGAATATTTGCACGAGCATAGCACACGCGTACATTATCATTTTCGCAAATTTTACATTCACATCATTTGTCATCAACAGTACGTAAAGGGTGAAACACACCACTAACGTGCTTACGGTAAACTGAACAAAAATAATCATCTTAAATTCTTTATTTATCAGTTTGGCGAATCTGTAATATTTCGAAGTGATAGTTACATGTTCGATTCTGAATTATCTTTATTTGAACTAACCGATACACGCGATTGTGGAAACGCACAGCCGCTTTCGCAGAGTGATTATCGTTAGGTTTGATCGCTCTCAGACGACACTCAAGTATCACCAGCTGAGAATAAGTGTGAATTAAAAGACCCCACATCAATCCTTCATAAGCAACGTTCACCATAGATCCAGTGATTAAAACTGCAGTTTGCAGAAAATAAATAATGATGTGCAAATAGAGTGGAAGGTAATCGAAAGGTAACCACATTCTGAAGGGAAGCTTTATGTCATCAGTTTTCAAAACTGCTACGCTTGAGTAAAGTATCACTGCCAATTCAGTTAGAACTAAATAAAGAAATGCTTGCCAGCTGTAACAATTTTTCAAAAGAAATTGCCGCAAACCATTTGAATTTTATTCCTTTTATTCTGACATTCATGTCGGATCAAAAGGATTGAAAACGAATTAGTTAACTTACCGGGCTTTCTTATCGAATTCCTTTCGAATCTCCATTTCTTTCTCATTTTCCGGTTGAAAAGGCTCCTTATTCAGGATATCAATTAAAACAGCGATGTTCTTATGTTTCGCTAACATGCTGTACATTTTGTGACACGAAACCATCATCGTCAACGTTAGATAAACGTTATCGCTGAATTCGTCTTGGTTTTCCACGACCAGTATCAAGTCCAGGCATTGTAAAAATGTTATAGCGTTTAACAATGTAAATAGAATCACAGTATAGACGGTGTAGAAGAATTTTTTGTAGGGTGGTGCCGAAGAGGGTGGTTGCCAACAACCGCACACTGCTAGTAGTTGAAATATCCTCTGCAACAATTGCATCGCACTCGATTCAATTTCCAATGAAAAAAGAATTATCAATTATTTTGCTCCTTCGATATTTTTCTTCTCTTGTATTCTCACGATCGTTGCTTTTCTTCAGGTACACGATAATCATAGTTTAGAAACTTTTTGCCACAATCTAGTTTTATTTTTGAAACTCAGTCACTCCTTTCTTTGACAGTAATGCAAATACTGTTGGTTGAAAATGTGAATTGAACAACGTACGACCATAGAGTGTCCATATTATTTGTATCCCTACAATAAGCAAGAGTTTATCAATTATAAAAGGGTTATTTACCCGCATAGCTTCCCCTTCCTATGTTCATCGTACGTCATTATAATGCTGTGAGACATATGACATGATATTTTTCTTTAATGATACCTGCTACATTTGCCTCTAACATAATTACTTAAAGATACTTCGTACTAATAAGCGTTTAGCTAATGTTTCTTGCAGAAGTTAGCAGTGTATGTTTCTTCGGCGAGTCAGTCGAAACAGGCAATTTGGCCAGGAAGCATCGTGTATCGACACTATCAATTCTTCTATCAGTTTTCTATCAACTTAATCCTTCTTTCGTGATAAAGCGAGAAAATGGAACGAAATAATTTTTAATAATTTTCTAATTAAAACACTAAATGATATATGATATTATACATTTAGTAATAAAACAATTATTGAGTTTAACATTTTATTTACTCAACATTTTCTCTATGCACATATGTCCAGTACATTCTACGTGAATTTCTCACTAATTGCTCATCTTGCCATCCAAAATATATTTGAGTAGGGTTGACAATTATTTTTTCTTCGAAGTGATCCATGAACGTTGCTATTCTCTGTCGCTTAACACGTTAAACGCCGAATAAGAAGCTTTCAGCAACTGTACTAAACGAAATTCAATTGTTTATTTACGAATAGAATATTGTATGAACGTGTGCTGTGTGTACCTTCACGAACGATTCAAGATTCATAGATACAACGTGGGCACTTGTGAATTCAATGGAAACATCGCTACGTCTCATAATCATCGAGAGAATTCTTTTAATATCTTTGTTGAAAAACATCCAGTCGGTTCTGAATGCCATCTGTGATACCTCGAGGCTCTAAGAAAGGAAGCTTTCTTTTATTCATAAAACAAACTTAAAATTCGTGGTATACAGACCTTTGATTTAACTTCGTTCCCGTACCAACAATAAATGAATATTTGTGTTAGCATGCCGAAAGTGTAATATACAACTATCAGAAATTTTGCGTTAATATTTTTCGCTGTTATCAACAGATAAAGGTTGAAGCATATGATCATTGTAGTCACGCCGAACTGGACGAAAACGATCCATTCAAATTCTTTGTTAAGCATTTTGGCAAATCTGCAATGTTTCAATATATTTTGGGGGCAAGATAATTAAATTAGGGTTAAAATCTATGATGTAGACTTTTCAGTGCTAATTGATAACGCTTTAATTATTAACCCTTTGGCTACCGTCTTTAAACAAAATAATGGTGTTCCTACAATTGTATTTCCGTAATAGCGAAAGGGTTGATGATTAATCAAATTAACAGAATTGACACGAAAACCAACCGATACACGTGATCATGATAACGCGCAGATGACTTCGCAGACTGACTCTCGCTCGGTTTAATCGCCTTCAGACGGTACCCAAGAATCTCAATTTGACTGCAAGTATGAATCAGCATGCCCCAGATCAAATTATCACAGGCGATGTGTACCAAAGATCCGATTATCAAAGATAGAGCTTGCAGAATGTAAGTAAAAATGAGCACCGTTAACGAGAGGTGTTTGTAAGGTAACCACATTCTGTATGGTAATTTTTCTGACTTTAACACACCGCTGTACGAATGGAATATCACTGCCAGTTCGTTTACAACCGTGTAAATATATGCTTGTATTCTATAATAATATGTAAAAATCATAATGCAAGCTATTAGCTGACAAGTGGAAATTGTTCATTTTTAAATCGTTAACTTACTCAGCCCTCTTGTTGAATCTCCCTCGAATCTCTATTTCTTCCACATTTTCCGGTTGAAAAGGTTCATTTTCCAAAATATCGTTGAATACAGCGATGTTGTTACGGCTCATTAGCATGCTGTACATTTTATGACAAGCTACCAACATCGTTAGCATCAGGAAGATATTTTCACTTAATTCATCTTGATTTTCCACGATTAACACCAGGTCCATGATTTGAAGGATCATGGATGTGTTAATAAGCGTGAATACAAACACTGTGTAGATATTGTAGAGGCGTTTTTTGATAGGTGATGTCCAAGAGGGAGGTCGCCGACACCCACACATCGTCAGAAGTTGAAATGTCCATCTCATTACTTGCATCCTTATCAAGTTGACATTCAATAGAAGAAAATTTGCACTTTTTATCGTTTTCAGTAAATAAATTGCTTCTATTGAGTTTCTTCAAATGCATGTCAATCGCGACTTTTACATTGCTTTTGTTTCCCTACATCAGCCGACTGTCTCAAGAAAGAAGTCCTCGTATTCTGTTTCACTCGACGGTTTTTCAAAGAAATCAAACGGTATATAACCATAGAATGTCTATATTATTTGTACCCCCTGAAATAAGTAAGCGTCTACCCCTGAGGGGATTTTAATACACTGAATTTTTCTTTCCGGTGTTCGGGGTATGTTATTACGGTAATTGCGTAGTGATCGCGACGACAGAACATGTATCTAATATTATACATTATTCGTTGTTTCTGTAATATTGTTGCTGAAAAGAATATTGCGCTGGCAGTAGTTTTGCTGAGGGAAACGTTAGGGGTGAATTCTTTAGAACGGGAATAATAAATTAGATCGGAGGTGGTGTATTTGCAAGGAGTCAGTCGAAAGAGTCAACTCGGTTGGACAACATCGTGTACGGAGTCGTGTTGTGGTTTCCTTATCAATTGGTGTAGATTCTGGTGGTTAATAATATTGGAGGTGAGATTTTCAAGTCAAACTTTTAGAGAAAATTTAGAAGGATAATTCTTAATTTCTAATAGTTTTGTCAAATTTTAAAGGGCTGTTTTGAGAAACATCTGTGAATAGAACATTAGAAGATACAATTTAATATTAAAATATCATATCCTATATACAACTATATAATTATTTACTCTATGATTCTTTCGTCCTTTGAAGTAAATTGTACACCGAATAAGACATTTTCAGTATCTATAATAAACAGATGCACATTATGATAATTATTTCTAATGACAGTATCTTTTAGTTGTTTTACTAACGCTCACGAAGGTGTCCAAATCAATCGTGTACATGTATGCGCTGGATATTTCAATTGGATTCAGTGCTCTCCTTATTATATTTATCAAGTTCTTCTTATTATTCTTGTCGAGTAATATCCAATCCATTTCAGAAATTGCATCCACCATCTCGACACTCTGTATTTGTAAATCAGGAGAGAGGTGATGGATGTCAGAAATATAATTTATTTAAATAATCAAATGCAGCCTAATTCAACAAATACCTTTAATTTGAGTTCGTTTCCATACCAGCAGTAAAAAAATATCTGTGACATCATGCAAGCCATGTAGAGAACGAATTGCAGGTATTTCGAGCTCATTGGTGTGTTTGTTAATTTATACATGATAAAACACACTACTAGAGTACTGGATACCAATTGGACACCGATGATTACTTTAAATTTCTCTTGCACCATAGCTGCATATCTACATTAAAAAATTATTTCTTGCCAAATTTTTGTACGTTTAATATTAACATTCTGTGGTTTAATTACAGACTAACCCATATAAGTAGTCATGAAAACGCACGATTTTTCCCATATTTGCATTCGATTTCTCAATCATTCCTTTTAATCTGTATTTCAAAATCTCTTGTTGACTACATGCATGGACCAGTAATCCACAAACGATTACATCGCAGGCTACATTGAGAAGCGATGTTCCAATTAGAGCGACAACTTGATGAAGGTATACTATGTAATAGAGATTCGAGGTGGTATAATCAAATGGTATCCATGCTGAGTATAATAATTTTCTGTCTTTGAAATCGGTGAACACCGATGATAAAATCATGCATACGACCGTGATTTCCACTAAGATTGTGTAATAAATTGTCATGGACCTGCAAAGAGTCTGTGAAAACATATTCACTCAATTTAATCCTGTGTATAGGAACATCTTTTCTCTCAAATTAATTTACCCCATGCTTTTGTCGAATTTGTTCTGAATCATCGATTCATGATCGTCTTCAGGTTTACAGGGTTCTTTCACGAGTTTTCTGACCAATATTTTAATACTCTTATGATTAATCAAAAGTGTGACTATCTTGCAACAAGCAAGGATAGACGCAATGAACATGTACAATCCTTCGCTAAGATCATCTGCTGTTCTCACGTTAAGTATCACGTTCAAAAATTGGGATATGCAAAAGCTGTATAGTAATGTGCACACGAAAAATGTGTAGAAGACGTAGATAATTTGTCTAGGTCTATTGTAACATTTAGACGGTCTCCAACATCCACAAATTTTTAATATGTTGAAGGCTGGTCGTAGAATGCTTATTCTTTGGTCTGATTTGAACAAACAGATTAAATGATAAAAAGTAGATAATTTCAATTAAAATTTTATTAGTGAGGAAAATATAAAAGATAGCAAAGTTTATATTCATAATTAATATATTTCGCCAACAATCTAATATAAAACACATTTTACCTGAACGTATCACCGACATTTTAAATTTAATATAAAAGTGGTATAATTTTTAAAGATGTCGAAAATGTAGAATTTCTTAGTTCATTGTTTCTACTTATGTTGTTGCTTGATATCAGCTCGCGACTTTCACTGAACACATTTTTCATTGTTACGTTTCATCGGTGCATAAAAACGTATAAAAAATTGATCACCTTGCAGCGTGTGTTCCTCTAGAAAATGGTATGTCACGAGAAATATGTATCAACGTATCATTATCATAATTTCTGGTTCATTTCTACGCAAATTGCACGATTATCTTTTCATGAATCTCGTTATCCTTGCAACCACTGTCTCAAGACCCCTCTGGGGTTTTATAATTTATTGTGTCGCCACGAGTCATTTGTAGAAACGATTTTTATTTATTTACAGTACAGCTACGCCGAAGCAACTTGCGTGGAGAAAATAGAAACAGTGTACATTCAGTTGGCAATCAGACAGTATGCAGGAAGACAGAAAGTTAAGTGGAAAAATGGAAATTTGTACGTGGAATTTTTGGAAGTATAGTGAACTGGAAAGAATCAAAAAGATAAGATATTTTCATTTCATTTTTTTTTTTTTATTAAAATAAGATGTATTTACAATGAAGTACAATAACTTTTTAATGCATTTCTTAACTAGGAATGTGTATACTTTATATTTTCTCAATTATTTTTTATTTTGCCGACGATTTATTGCATCAGTATTGCATTTTTTATTGCCATTTCGAATTTTAGATTTACTTTTTGTATTCTGATTTTCCCTGTATCGTTCGCTAAATGATTTAGATATAAGAATATTTAACATTTCATTGATGGTTTCAGGATTTTCTTTTTTGAATTTTATTTAGAAAATAATGTTATAAAAGAAGAAATTTTTTTTACAATGTGCTTTTATACAAACTACAAATGGTACAAGTGTTCAATTATTATTAACTAATTGGTTCCATCTGGACGTGATCTTCCCGCGACTTTCGGCATCTTCTTGTTCGTAGAATCTTCCAACTCTTTCGGTTTGTAATAATGTGGAGCTACTTCTAAGAGCCATTTGCTTTCGATCTCAGTTACCTAGAACATTGAAAAGAATTTCCATTGCCTTAGAAACTGTCTGAAATAAAAATTAAGCTATAGTTTAAGAAAAGAGTACCTACCTGTCGCATGAATTCTTTCGTGGTAAACACCAGCTCGTGATAAAGTAGCCAACGTGGTAACTCTTGAAACAACGAACTATTCGGATGGATTGATACTGTCTGATTATGTTTCGCAGTTTTATAATGTCCCCCTTTTGATAATCGCGCCACGTGATAAAAATAACCCGCCGTGATTGCCTGAAAAAAATTAATCAAAACACCACCTTAATTACCCCATTCTACCCAACTTTCATTTTCCCACTTACCTTTCGAACATTCACTGTTTCCGAGATCCCAGAAACAAGATCCATTTCAACCCTTTGCATCAGGCCGACTAATTGTTCCCTCACGTCTCTGGCTCGTTTCATCGACCGATGTTGAATGAAATTTTCGTAGCACCAATGGGTGCTGAAATCGCTTTGCTGCCATTGATTGTACACGTTCAACAAGGTCAGATGATCGCCACCAGGGACGTGGAAATTCTTGCGTGCCGTGTCTGCGTGAATAATTTTATCCTTCGGCCTGTAGAAAATCGCTCCGTTCACCGACAGCATAGCCGCGATGGTGGCGATTTCCTCCGAACAGCGGTACTGTTCGCTAGCCAGTAACATTTTAGCCATCATAGGATCTAAAGGAAACTCGGCCATTCTTCGACCGAGTTTCGTTAACTCTCCACGATGATTCAAAGCACCTAATGCGTATAATTGTTCCAATGCCAGAACCAGAGTTTCATGCGGTGGTGGATCCAGGAAGTCAAAGTGCACTAGATCGTTTATTCCTAACGCTTTCAATGTCAGCACCGCGTTTCCTGTAACACAAAACTATAATTCTTAACACCGTTGGATTCGACACGGTTCGAGACTCCGGATAGAACATTACCAAGATTGATTCTCTGAATTTCCGGCACGGTATTGTCTTCCAATTCGTGTTGATAAGCCCAAGCCGTATAGAGTCGGAAACACTTCCCTGGTGCCACTCTTCCGGCTCGACCGGCTCTCTGATTAGCAGAGGCTTTGCTGATTGGTACCACCATTAAACTCTCCATGCCTGTGCGAGAATTAAAATTATTCTGCTTCGCGAATCCAGGATCTATCACGTACACTATATTGTCTATGGTTAACGAGGTCTCTGCTATGTTGGTAGCAAGAACCACCTATAACACAAGACACACAAAATTAATATGTTCATTGAAATAAAAAATAAGAAATCATACTTTTCTTGCTCCGGGCGGTGTTGGTTGAAATATCTTCGCCTGCATGTCACTCGGGAGATTCGCATAAACGGGTAGTATCAATAACTCCGCCAATTTAGATCCCAGTCGACGTACCCTTTCTTGTAACATTTCCTGACACGTCTCTATTTCATCTTGACCTGTGACACAAAAATTCGTAGCAAATTAATTGGAAATATCTAATCGATCGAAGGGTCGGAATGTATACCTGTTAAGAATACGAGAACATCACCGTGCGGTTGAGTCGCGTGGATCTGAAGGATGGAAACCACACAAGCGTCGATATAGTCGGCCTCGGGAGCTTTAGTATAATAGATATCAACGGGAAAACGTCGGCCAGGTATCCGAAATATCGGGGCATCGTCGAAGAATTCACTGAATTTCGTCGCGTCCAGAGTGGCCGATGAAATCAGAAGTTTCAAGTCTGTACGAAATCTCGTGATGTCTTTTACCAATCCGAAAAGTATATCCGTGTGCAAGGTACGCTCGTGAGCTTCGTCGATGATCATCACGCTGGAAGGTATATGATTTTCATTTTGATAATTAATAAAAATTTTAATGATGTACAGGTGTTAAATAAATTGTTGCTACCTGTAGGAAGCTAAATCTGGTTCGCTAAGAAATTCACGATGCAGTGTACCGTCGGTCATGTATTTAATACGAGTACGATGGGAAGTGCAATCCTCGAAACGAATCGCGTAACCGACTTCGTTTCCCAATTTCACAGCCATTTCGTGAGCGACTCTCGCCGCGACCGACATAGCTGCCACCCTTCTGGGTTGAGTACAGCCAATTATTTTATTGTTTTCTGCGAACCCTGCTTCGTATAAATATTGGGGAATCTGAGTAGTTTTTCCCGAGCCCGTCTCTCCCTCGATGATCAGTACCTATGATGTAATGTTTTAATATCAGTTAGTGACTTCAATTTTGCATAATGCAACTTGCGAAGTACCTGATGATCTTTGATGGCCTGAATAAGATCGTTCCTGAAAGGATAAATTGGGAGACTCTTCTTTGTTTCTTGTATAGTTTGCAAAGCTTTTACTTGAGGAGGAGGGCTCATTTCCCGTTTCCTGTCTCTTTCGCTGCCAGGCATACGTAATGCTTGGACAAATTCCACTTCATCCTCCAATAGAAGATCGTAATCCTGTTGGGCTATAAGGAACGGCAATCATAGATAATTTATTCGTAATATTAATTAAATCTCAAGGTAACTCGTACCTTTTCGATCCTTGGCGCCAAAACGAAAAACAGCAGATGACATCTGATCAGATTCCCACTTGCTCTGTTCAGACTGTGGTGGTTCATTTTCATGTACATCTGGTTCTGGTTCCAGCTTGCCCTTTTCCAAGGGCATATGGTATCTTTGCACCCTCTCGAGCTCCCTAGCTTTCTCATGTTCCTTTGCCAATTGCAGCAGTTGTTTTTTATGGTCTCTTTCTTTCTTTTCACGATCTGTTAATCTATTAATTAAAATCATCACAGTTAGAATCATGTTATTATATCGTTTTTCTATGTATTTTTTAATGAATGATTACACTTCTTCTTCGAATAGGTATTCATCGTCGATAATATCAGCTTCCAATTCAGCAACTTTGTCCTCTTTACGCTTTTCCAAATATTTTCTGCGAGATTCAACACGTAGCTTCGGTAACAGCTTCTCTCTCATATCTGTTTCCATGATTTTGAGCCTCTTTGCTGCCTCAGCTACAACGAGAACGATATGTTATGACATAAATATGTTAAGAGCATTGATATGTTTAGAAAACGATGTGGTTTACCTGCTCCAGAGCCAGCTGGCATAGCAACCTTCCGTATCTTGCTCTCATCCTTAGCTTTGAGTCTATTAGCAAATTCATCTCTTTCCTTGATATCCCTCCTACGTCGTTCCTCTTCGCTATCACTATCCTCACTTGAGGATTCTTTCCTTCTGTATTTACTCATTTTGTATTTGATGTCGGGAATAGGTTATACTTATTTATTATCAAATAACAACTCAAGGGAAAGGGTAAAAAATAAAACACTATTTCTTTTTTTTAAATTTGAAATCACAGAACATATTGTGCATACAGAAAATTAATTATTCGTCTTATTTCGACGATAATATGTACTGAAAAGTACAGTGTAAGAAGTTGTTTGAGGTTAGGTTGACTTAACTTCCCTCAAACTAAGCAAAAATAAACCTTTTGCGTTTAATTATTCTCTTGTTCGATCGTTTATATTGTAGGATAATAGGTGACAAACATAATTTAAACGACAGCCATATAAAAATATTCAAATTACTCGTTTAATTACAGTAAAAAAAAAACAAACAGCAGCTCTGCGTAGACTGCAGCGCTGCATCAGCTGGCGCCATGCGCGCAAGAATGGAGTCCGTTGCTAGGCAACGTGCGTAGCGTCGCTAGTACGCGTGCGTGCGTAAGTTCATTCATAATGCTCCGCCCACCGTTTCATTCATGAATCGCCAATCTCTTTTTTCGTACATCGGACCGCCGCGCCGTATCATTTCTCGCCGCTTTGCGAAACGATACATACACTTCATACAATCGTTTAATATACGTAAATAAAAGAAAAAACGAATGGAGGTTGAAAGTTGAATGATTGAAAAATTTATTGACACAAAGCACAGCTTCCACACGAGGGT